GTGTATATTCAGAAGGTCTGAGAATAGTACGTAAACTATTTTTCAAAACCCTAAAGCCTAGTTCGCATTAAGCTAGTATTTTAGTCTAGTAGCGAGTAATTTAGTAGCTAAATTACTCGCTACTCACCAAAAATCGTTCGCACCTTGGTCGAGAACAGTTTACAAGTGAGTGGTGTTTTGCAAGATGAACAGCCTACAACGCAATAAAGTAAATAAACTGATTAAGCTGATCGTAACGGCTATTTTAGAAGAGGTGGATGAAGAAATTTGTGTGATTAATAAAAAGAAGCTATGGGTACGAAAACGGATCGAAAAACGAGATAAACTAGGAGCTACTAATTGTCTACTGAAGGAGTTCAAGCATTCGTGTTCAACATATTTCGAAACAAATTTAAAAGTCATTTCTTCGCTCCAGCGAAACGACAATATGGCGGCAACTAATGAACTCGACTAATTTGACAGGTTCGTACTTGTTTAGCCGGTGAACCAGTGAGCTCGGACGCGTGGTGGGGGCTGCTACTCGCCCAAAAAAATAGAATAAAATGGATTGACTCGACTAAATTACTTACTAAACTAATCGACTAAATTTTTAGTGTTTAGACACGTTTAGTTACTAAATTACTCGCTACTAGACTAAAATACTAGCTTAATGCGAACTAGGCTTAAGTGAAGATAAGTGGTCCAGCCCAAAAAAAAATTTTTTTGGACAACATTATTTATTATTTTTTTTTTATGATTCAGCATTATAAAATACATACAAATCTAAATTTTCACTAATATTTTCGCTAGTAATTTATAAAATCCTATGTCTACAAACATGGGCGTACCCAGCTTTTGATCCAGGGGGGGGGGCAAAACAGAAATTGTCCCCCCCCCCTCCCTCTCGGTCCCCCGTGCTTGTTTTTCTCTACACACTATATGAACACTAAAAAAATCCGAATGTCAATTTTTATTTAGCGGACACTTTTTATTATTCTTCAACAGATTGCACACTGCACACAATATCAACCAGATTTTTTAAATACCATACAGGTATTTCCATATAGGTAGACAAACGATTTACGCGGATTTTGTTCGCAATTTCATGGATTTTTTTTTTCACCGAACCCTAATTATTTAAAAAAAATAAAATTAGCCGAGTTTAAGCGATTACCAGGGTGCGCCGGCGTTCGATAGAAGCGCGCCCAGTTTAAGCTAAACGCTGTTTAATATGTTCATCCCTACAGATTACAACCAATGCCAACTTATATTGACAGCGTCTTTTCTGAAATTATCAATTTTTGAATTTGTTGTGTCCATATAAACTTTCAATCATCATCGTTTTACAAACTATATATAATATAATTAACCAAAGTTTCAGCCAAATCAACTCAACAGTATTTTATATATAGCATTATTGAAATTATACTTCTTTTGCTATGCGATGCGACAGATTTGGACTACAGTATGAAGTTAGTGATTATTGACTACAGTGTGAAGTTAGTCGTTATTGGCTACAATGTGAAGTTTTTTTATTTTTTTATTTTATTTCTAGATACACAACTCGTGTTTTATATCGATATATATAAAAAATATTACAAGTTTTTATTTAGTTTCACCTGACTCATTGTCTGCCTGTAATCAAATCTTACAAGTTAAATTTTACCCACTTCCAATTGTCCGATTGAGCTGAAATTTGGAACACACGTTTGACTCTCGTGACTGCACGATTTCCAAAATGCCACCATATTTAATCCAATACGACGGACGGACGTAACAAAATGGTGATTAACTATTTTCATAGTGACCCACCCATATGATATGGGTATCAAATGCAAGGACTTTAAAATTTAATATGGCGGACTGTTTATTTTGCACCCCCAAGACATTAGACCAGGGTCAATAATTTTTGAAACCAAAAAAAATAATAGTAGAATGAAACCCATTGGAAAAGGAAGAGAATATAACAAAAATGAAAGGAAAAATAATAACGGGTGATCTGAGGTCCCAAAGATACAAGAATAAAAATATATTATTATGTAAGTTCCGAAGTTTGTTGTAAAAATGAAATGAAATTACAATAATATATTTATTCAAAAAACCATTTTCGCATTTTACTGCTGGAAATAAACGAAATAATTATAAATCCATATTAATATTATAATTAATGTGAAAGTGTGTTTGTTTGTTTCATTGACTATTCTTCTTTCACGTCGAAACACAGAGACGAATTGGCGTGAAATTTTTGTTGTTATGTGTGTTGTGTTTATATAGTTGGAGGGCTGGAGACGGAGAGTGACAAGGCTACTTTGTACTGTGGGAGATTATCTCATTCTCACGGGAAAATCCGTTTTATTACAACCCACAATATATAATATATAATTACATATATATAATCTATCTATTCCATACTAACCGTTAAAACGTATCTACCTAGGAAAGAACCCGAGCGAAGCGACGAGGGCGAGTCGCAATTATAGAAAATAAGCGTCCATCAACTATCTCTGTTTTACGTATAATTTGCGTAAAACGCAAATGCGACTATGAAGTTAGCCTCAAATCAGTACGCACGCAATTGATGCAACCACAAAATATATAGAAACGACACGCATGATGCAACTATTAATTTTGAAGGGTAGTTTATATATTTGAGGGTACATTAATATAATATAATCGTATTATAAATTAAAAATAAACGAAATACAAAACTTGACAGTATATGCAATAAGTATGCTTCACTCAAAAGTCAAATGCATTTGAGTTTTGTGCGATATGTACTTGTAGATTTCTTTAGATTAAAATTTAAATTGGTTATTTACGACATCAATCGTACAAAGCGCACATCAACTCACAAATCTTAGATAATTATCTACACCAGAGATTGACCCTTAAGGTGCCTCTTTTGGATATTAATAGTTTTTGCCAAAATGTTTTGTTAAGTAACTAAAAATTTTCTCTTTAATTTTTATATAGGTATTTACTTTTAATAAATCATTATAAATAATAGTCATGTTACTAATAAAATTACTGAGAATTTATAATATTGCTGTAAGTTTTTTATAATATTATTATATTATAACCATAAGGTTTTTTACAAATAAAGAAATTAAAATGAATACTTTAAAACATTTTCGGAATTATTATGTTATCCACATTGCAAATGTTCTGCTCGACAAAAACATTAAAATGAATGTGTCTATTTCTAAACTTAGTTGATATCATAGACCAAGAACAACAAGAGTTGATATCTCTTCTTAGTCTGTGCACTAGACTATGTTAGAAAATATTCTCTATTCTCTTGTTATGGAGGTTTAATCGGTAATGTCACGTTGAATTACAAATTAATTACATATTATTATCAATAGTTACTGATTTAAAATCAATAATTGTATTCTCAGAGAGTTAATATTATTTATTCATTTTATACTCCTAATTGCACTTAATACATGAAGTCCTCTAAGTAAAATGCATTGGTATGTCAAACAACTACACACATCTATGTTTCGTTGTAGTTTGCTTATCTACTTTATAAACATGTTAAAATTAACGTGTATAAAACATGCTTGGGCTTATGTATGCAATCAAATTTTGTCAATTATTCAACATACACTTTATGCATTTGAAAACATAATCTAAATGTAAGATTTTAATAACTGATTTTTATATTAACGTGACCTAATGTATAAGTGTAAGGCGATGAAAATACTCGCAAAATAATATGCTATAAGAATAAGAGCAATGAAAATAAAACATTTAAATTGAAAGCTTTAATTTTAAATATTAAAAATTGACTTCAGTTCTTTCAAGTTGCCCTTTTTAAACTTGTGGTAATAGTCTGTGTTAAATAATATGCATTTAGTGATACAAGTGAAAATGCGTTGATTTTTTAAACTTTCTTAATACATTTAATATTTCTTTGCATTTTATCTCAAATGAAAATTTGTTAGCAATTGACAAAACAATTTTGATTTGAAATATTAACATAATGTTATATACATACATATAGTTATATAAATAACTTTTATTCCACTAAATATACATTAAAAGTTACAAGACCACTTTATAACCTACAGCCTCTAAGAAATAGTGATCTTTTTATCTGAAATGAATTACTTAATTTATATCTAACTTAAATTTATATAAAGTGATTATTATTGTTAATTTGAAAAATATATTTTTAAGTGAAGTGCTTAAAATATATGTTTAATTTGTACAAAAATTAAGTAGTGCTTAACTATGTACTTGATGTAACTTTCTAGCATAGTTTTTTAAAACAGTTTTCTATTATACTTTTTCATTATGCTCTTAGTCATTCATTTATAAAAATTAAAACATTTTATTTTATATACATTTGTTTGACAGTTGAGATAGTGCCTTTATTTAGCCACTAGTCTATTACAAATATCCAATCATTATATTTATTAACAAACACTACACATCTTCTTCTTCTCCCTGCCCATTTCCCAAATCACTTGGGGTCGGCGCAGTACATCTTCAGTGTACTGCTGATAGGATTTGGCAAAAGTTTTACAAAAAAAAAAAAAAAACAAAAGCACTACACATATAGACACATTATAAATGCAAACATACAAGCTCATTCACAACATAATTATATACAGGTACTTGGTAGTTCTTGTTGTGTTCAGACTAAACCTCAAATGATCTTATACACTTGACAGTTTTTCACTCTACTGTCTCTTTGTCTGTTTCTTTGATGCATAACAACTCACCTCATAATTGTAAGAACAGTACAGTATTTAGATTTGAATGTAAAGTTTGTTTTATTTTCGTTTTGCTATAACTTAATAGGGGCTTAATCTTAGGGTCTTTGTCTTCTGTAGTTATTAACTAACATCATATTGTTAATATTCAACTACTATAAAAATATTTAAAATGTTGTGCGTGGCAATTCATAGCTGTTATGTTTATATTATCATCTTTTTTCATATGTTATTATTCTTACATATATATTTTTCTCTGTTGTTTCAGGTTTTAGTGTTACATACTATTCAGAAGAAACCATGGGAAAAGAGTAAGTTCTATATAAATATAGTAATTTTGTGAAAAATGTGTTGTATCATATATCATATAATACTATACTAGTAAAGAATCCTCATCCCATACAAAGATATTGGGCAGCACTAATTTGGGGTATTTTTGTTTGCTTGAATAGAAAATAGATGTTGATGCGCAAATACTTAAAACTGTTTTATTTTATAAATATGTGCAAACTAATTATGCAAATTTGATTTACAAGTGTATTATTATATTTCCCTTCACTTAAAATATTTTTAAAATAATAATACACCTTTTGGAATCTATTATTTTATCTTTTCTTAATACACAACTTTAATAACAAAGTGATACATGTAAAGTCATCTATTGACATTTATTTAAATTAATTTTTCTGTGTTTGTGATGAGACCCGGTGGTTGTATTAAGGAATAAATAAAAGATGACCTATTCATTTTTATTTGAGCTAAACTTATAAATAACATAATGTTTAAGTTCTAGTAAATGAAATATAAAAAATAGTAGTACATACTAACTTTTTGCTAAATATCTCACATTTCGGAAAAATCTTTGACTAAGAATTTGACTTTTAAATAATATTGTGTTTGTCACTTTTGAAAGGTATCTCTCTACACATTGTAGTTTTATAGTTTCAGGGTTTTGAAATTTTTGTGTCAATAATGATTCAATTTCACTATGAGCAATTCAAGTTTTTCTCTGGATATATGTATTCAGGTTATCAATAGAATTAAAACTAAAAATCGGTATGTTGCTATTAAAACATAAAACAGATGTTTATCCTCAATTCTTGTAAGTTATTGGCTTACAATGTTACAGAGTTGTGGAATGTTTTATAAGCAAAACCAAAGAAGAAGGGAACTTGGCACATGATCTTGTAAGTATGGCTTTTGTTTACTTTTTTGTTGCAGAAAAAAATGTGACGTAGAGAAAACTTTAAATGGGGACACCGTAGATGATGAAAGCAAGAAAAAGAAAAAGAGTAAAAAACATAAGAAACGTAAGAGAAGTGCTGAAGAGAACGATGAAAAGGCATATAAGAAAAAGAAATCTAAAAAGGAAAAATACAAAAGTCCTAAAGAAGAAAGCGAAACATCATTATCTGATGTGGAAGAATTAATCAAAAAGTCGAGACAATGTAAACCTACTAATAAAGGATCATCGTCACTAGATACTCCTTTAATTATAAATTCTAAAAATGGGAACGCTCTCCCTTCAGAATCCCGCAGCAGCAGTCGAGACGCTCACACGCGACAAGTAGAGGATACTTTAGAAATAGTGTCCTCCAATTCTGAAGCAGAAAACTACCAAGAGGACTGTGCTAGTCCTGAACTAACAATAATTGAAGATGATCTGAATCTGGAAGAATTAATGAAACAAAAGGAATTATTACAAGCTCGCTTGGTTGCATATGATTCTGACAAAAGCGAAGAAGATACTAACTATACACAAAGGCCATCTATACCTAATAATGAGGTTATATGTATAAATGATGAAGTAAAGACCCCAATTCGTAAGAAAGACAAAAGGGGACATGATATTGAGCAGAAAAAAAGCAGTAGACATAAATTAGGTAAAGAACGGTCTACAGAAAAAGAAAAGCATAGATCCAGACGCCAAGAAGAGGATTTAAGAGAAATAATTAATAGAGAAAATAAAAAAGAAATGGAAAAGAAACTTGAAGAAAAAGAATATCGTGAACGGAAAGAGCGCGAACGCCGCAAAGCTGAATCAGAAAGAGAAAAAGAACGAGAACGTGAAAGAGAGCGTGACAAAGAAAGAGAGCGTGAAAAAGAAAGAGAACGGGATAGAGAAAAAGAGCGGGAAAGAGATAGAGAACGGGAGAGAGATCGGGACAGAAAACGGGAAAGAGAGCGGGATAGGGGTCGGGAAAGAGAGCCTCGCTCATCTGAAGTCAGGCGCCGCGATAGAGATACTGTTCGCAGCCGGCGATCGAGGGATCGCTCGTCGATTACGAGACGCGACAGGCGACCTTCAGATCGCGACCGTAGGTCTCGCGAGCGAAGTAGGGATAGGCACACAGGGGCGTCCAAAGACAAAAACTATAAACCAGAGCATAAAGACAGGAGAAAGGTAAGGATTTGTATTGCCGTTTGTTTTATTGTCTTTTGGTGGAGTCTTAATAACCTATTTATGTGTGTTTTTTTAATAACAATAAAAATTTAACATAACCTCCATACAAATTATGTCAAATTTCTATCCTTGTATGGAAAAGCACAGATACAACAGGCTTTTGAGATCCACTCCATCCATTAGATATATGTACATGTAGAGATTCAATAGGGAATATGCGTGATTTTTTATTTTTATTTTTATGCAATAGTTTATACCGTTACATAATTAAAAAAAAATCATCTCCAAAAAACTAAAATCTAGTAAATTTTTTTTAATTATCATACCGATACGAACACCTTAAAAACGCCCTGTATTTCGCGCGCTTGGCGTGACGTCAAAGTATATCATACACAGAAAAATGACGACTTTTGCTTAAGCAATTTGTAGCTCAACGAAATCTCCATCCTGTCTGACCAATGGTGTTGCGTTTCAACTGTTCTGAATTTCCCATTTATATTTGCACTTTTTTAATATGTATTTTCTAAATCAAAAAGTAATTACATTAAAAAAATATTAATATAGGCTTAATTCAAAATTAATAAAGATTTAAAAAAATCACCTTTAATTAAATGACACGCATATTTCCTATTGTTGGAATTTAAAAATTTTGCTTAATCTTTTCATAGAACTCAGCCCACGAAGTCGCACAAGTAGTCGCTAGTTCAAGCGACGAGGAACTTGATATTTCTATTAACACAGATGACGAGGAGGAAACGGAAGAACAAATTATTGAAAAGAGACGCAAACAAAGGGAGCAACTGTTAAAGGTATGTAAATCATTTGTGAGGTATAAAAATGAATTAAATTGTCCATTTTTTATGTTGGGATTTTATTGTACTAGTGATGCAACGAAAATAATATAGTATTATTTATAAAATGCACCGCTAAGGCGAATATGTTATATTTGTTTATGCGAATGTTATGTTCTTTCCCATAGATTTTGTCTGAGAATTATATTAAAGTTTTTTATTTATTGCTTTTTATTCGTATTGTATAAAAGCAAATAATTGATTTATTACACAACATACACTTTTTATCCTTTTTTTTAACAAAAAACATTATTTATTAATATGTACTAATATTAAAAAAAAATTATAGTCATTTATAATATGCACATTGTACGTCATTGTACAGTATGTAGCAGTGTAATTAGCAATATGTGAATAGATTTTATTTGTAATGCTTATTTCTTTAATATCTGTATTAGGTAATGTAAAACAATAATTATCTACGTATTAAATTTTGTATATTGTATAGTAAATGTTAAATATTTTGTTAATTCTTTGCTAATATTGAATAGTCGTTCCATCACTGGTGTGTACTGGATCGGGAAGTGCCCTTGCATTTTTGGTTGTGTTTGATTACCAATTAATTTTTATTATAATAAATTATTTAAACTCATAATAAAATCGGCTAAGTTAATTTCATCTATCCGAATCTGTACATTAGATATTTTTTCGAATCTATAGTTTTTAGAATTTTTGTCTGTCTGTCTGTTACCGCATTACAGAAAAACCACTGAAGGCATTTTGATGAAATTTGGTATGGTGATAGCTGGTTATCCGGGTCAACATATAGAATACTTTTTACCGTGGGAAAATATCTAATTTTTGAGAAAAAATACAAAAACTGCAATGTAAGAGTATACTAATATGTAAAACCTAAGAATTTGGTTTTTGGTCATCTGAACGCGGACGGAGCCGCGGGCAATGCTAGTGTAAAATAAATTGAGCAGCTTTTGTGAATAGTTTACCAAATTTGCAATGTTGCTTAAAAAAGTTGAAAATGATTTCTAAAAGGTGCGATAAATACAGCCATGTTACATTTTAAGTGGGCAATGAAAATACTAAATGCTTGAATAAAATACTGAAGCTGAAAAATAAGTAACTACGATTATAACTGAACAACAGTTATTTAATTATCCGTGGCATTATTTGAATTACATTAAACATATATTTAGGGCAATCATTTTAACGTTGCGTTAAAACTTTATGGTATGTGGATTATAACAGTATTCTAAGTTGGTGGTTCGATGTGCTATGCGGTGGCCTCGTATGCCTTCGTAGGCAAGTGACGATGGCGTCGTGGTTGTATGTAAAAGCGATCCCACGCCACGCCCCATTAAACGTGGGCGTTGTATGCATTTTCTATTTAAACAAAGAGTTACTATGTTATTTTGACGTCAAATTAAATCTTTAATTTAGTTGTTACATGCGTACATAAGTACATACATACTTTTTTAAATATATTTTTTTAACTTAGGTCGATGCTTGACCCTATTTCCCTTGGAGACATTTTGCTTTATTAATTAACTTCTTAAATTAATAATAATAAGATCAACAATATAATCATTTATTGTCATAATGGAAGTAGAACCGTTTACCTCGTGATGAGGGACAACATAACACATGAATTACAAAAGGGAATTATTTATGATACGCAATATTATGAAATGATTTTGTTAATTGCAATGGTACCTCCTGAACCATATTAAATGATTGATAGACCTGAAAATTATGTCTTAATTTTGCCAATAATTAATTGAAGCTACACACACACATACTAATAAAAATTACATTAATATAATTAAATGCTATTTTTTATATTTATTTGTAATATGTTGAACTGTATGTACAGAATGTATTTACTGTTACTAAATATTGACTATATTATTATCATCTATGTATATTTTACGTGTAATTTATGTTATGTAGATGTTGATGATTTATACTAAGTTATAATATAATTAGTATATGATACAAATATAGATACGTAAATATTTGTTTTAAGGTCGTGTGCCTTAAACTTGATAAATTTCCAAGCACATCTTGGCCATCCGCTATGTGTGTATGTGTTTAAAAATTCGATGTTAAAAATAAATCATCCCACTTATGCTTAAACATATTACTACTACATAATTACACCAGAAATAATCATGGTAACAGCGAGCTCAACAAAATCTATGGGTAAGCACTGAATTTTCACAAAAGGAAATGTTTTGTTTATAGAATTGACATGAATATATAAGTTATTTTGCAGAGGCTAGGATGTAACAATAGTGCTCATACAGACGCGAGTCAAAACAATGCAGCCACCAATGTGAGGAAAATTGAATCTGGGACACCGGAAATTAAAGTTGCTAAGGAACCTACGCACCACGTTAAAAATGATTTAGCAGAAATCAAAGGAGATAAGAACAGTGGTTTAACTAGAAATGCAGAGAATGACTCAAAAACTAAACTCGACAAGGCCCTTAGAGGCAGTGAATGGGACATGTTCGCAGATCAGGACAACTTCGACAGCGTAGATGTAAGTTAAAACAACGCTAGTTAAAATTATTGTGCATACAAAATTCTTATATTTATTAGTGCCTCTTATTAAAAATTTTTTTTTTAAATATGCTTGACAGACTCCAACTGCTGGCAAACACAGAAGTAAAAATGCGTCAGAAAACCCTTCACTCACAGACAACTGGGATGACGCCGAAGGTTACTACAGGTACATAATAATTTATAAATATTACTAACAATAGTTTTTTACTAATTTACTGTATGGCTACTTAATATATTATTAATATATTTTGATTTTTTAGTCCAAAACTTTTTATCTCCCGTACCTATGATTGCTGTAAAGCGTTCGAACGTCGGGAACCAAAAATCTAAATAAATCGGCGAAAAAATCCAAAAATATAGTTTTATTTTAAATTTCAAATATTCGCGAAAATCTAAAAAAGTATTATGAGAATCAAGTCTGTTTGGAACACAAAAATAAAGTCCAATTAAGGGTCTACGCGCACCAAGTGTTTTAAACGCGGCGACGCCGCTCATATCATTTACGTACATACTTGTTTTTACTGATAAAATTAAAAAATGCAGATAGGTTGCGCTCGTATCGATACAACGGTTTGCATTTACAACAAATGTTAAAATGTCGTTGCGTACATAGACTCTAGATTGCACTTAATTTTTTTCAAAAAAAAAAACGGTGCTCTCTAAAGTCAGACACCCTATTAAAAAACTCCAATAGGATTTCATAAAAAGCACACAGAAACCAATAAATATTTATTGGTTTCTATGTGGCTTTTGTCGCTTATGATGATATCCTATTGGAGTTTTTTTAATAGGTTGTGTAATACCGCCACAAAGGAAACTGCTTAGTTACTACTAATTTATCACTATTAATTTATTCGAATTCATAATCATTCAAGTAGACGCTAGGAACCTATATAGGTAGATTTATATGTTTCTAACACAACTAACGAACGAACCGACGACGTATAGAATAAGTTATTCTAGGTATTTTATCAATACGCTATAAAGTATCACTTTGTCATTGTTCGTCCTTGATTTGTCAGATCGATATGATTATATTGTGTATAGTTGAATAACATGTCAAGGACACACTAACAGACATTTTTTCAATAATAATAATATTAAGGTTTCAAAAAGTAAAATCTTTAATTAATGTATAATAAAATTTTAAAAGTGTTAAATATAAAACAGTATTTAATTTAATAATTATCATACCATTTATTTTTAATTGTTTAAAGAATTGGTAAGGAACGGTCAATCGCGATCGTTCTACTTACGTGCTTGAACAATAATTTCATTAATTAATAAAAAATATATACTAATTAGTAATTTACAAAATTATATCATATCATATTATTAATTATATGTATATATTTTCGCAGAGTAAGAATAGGAGAGACGTTAGACAACAGGTACACAGTGTACGGATACACGGGACAGGGCGTGTTCTCTAATGTGGTGAGAGCGCGGGACCAGGCTCGTGGCAACACCGATGTAGCCGTTAAAATTATAAGGAACAATGAGATTATGTAAGTGCCACGCAATCTAATATATACATATAAACGTAAGTTTGTCTATGTGTTTGTTATTCCTTCACACTGAGACTTCTGTAATGTAATGGTTGAAATTTACTATACATACATAGACCTCGACTTGGGAGTAACACATGCCCCATAGGCTACTGTTAGACCTCTATATAGAGCGAAGCGAGAATAAGTCGCTAGTATTTTACAAGACTAAGTTTCGTTCACGGCTGGGATGACAGTTACGTGTACAGAAAGTAGCCATTGTTCTAATCAAAGACACTCCCATATACCAACCTTTTCATTTGTTATATTATTATGCCTAGGTAAGTACTTATTTCTTGCGGCTTCATTGGTCAATAACTAAATATAACATGATCCTTGCTTTGTATGGAAGCTCCAAGAACGAGCAGTTCTAATACATATTTGGTCTTACGAAAGCGATAGTATTTTATCCCTCTGTTTTCAAATCAGAACATTACCTGGACATAAAAAGTCCCTTTAAAAATTATTTATTACTATTTGTTGTGCTATCTTATATAATGTCAGGTCCAATCAAAGTCTTAAATCAAATACCTGGCTTTAAATATATCTGACACTCATATTAGAAATTGTAAGAGAAAGTGTCAGAGAGTAAGTGAAACAGCAAACACTCTGCTCCACTGCTTCTATCATTATTCTTACTACTAAAATAGGCAAGTTGTATTCATGTGTTACTTGTAATACAAATACGTCGACACTTGCAAAGAACAGCATTGCAACTCTGATAGTAGGGGAGCCCAAGTCCTTATACGGAGGACTCATATATGGTGGAGGTACTCAACAGAGTGCAAGGTATCCCCCCTAATGTTAATTTGCCGCGCTTGTGTTAAACCCAAAATCCCCTCTTGGTCTCCCCTACTACCCCTTCTGTAACAATTTTCAGTTGGGAATAAAAACATATAGAGAAAAAAATATAAATTTTTGAATCATCTCAATACTAAGTTACAATGTTATTCAGGTGTCGAATGTGTGTGAAAAGTTGTCAAAAAGTTATGATCACATTAAAATATTATTATTATTTTAGGCATAAAACTGGTTTGAGGGAATTGGAGATCTTGAAACGATTGAACGACGCCGACTCCGAAGACAAATTCCATTGCTTACGTCTGTTCCGTCACTTCTTTCATAAACGCCATCTTTGCATGGTTCTAGAACCACTTTCGATGAATTTGAGGGAGGTTCTTAAGAAATATGGAAAAAATAGCGGTATACATATAAAAGCTGTTAGAAGTTATACACAACAAATGCTCTTAGCTTTAAAACTGTTGAAAAAAACGGGTATATTGCATGCGGGTGAGTTATATTTTGCTTATTTTTCTTTATTTTTTATTATATATATATATATATATATTTACTTTTAATATATATATATGTATATATATATATATATATATATATATTAAAAGTGACGAAGTAGAAAACTTTCTTTAAGTAATTGGTACCTCTCTAGATACCTTTAACATAAATTGAAAAAAAATAATAATATTATAGTAAATTTAAACTTCTATGTATGTGTTTGCTCAGTTGAAAAATAATTTTATTAATATAATATCTTTATCAACATTAAATAATACTTTCAGATATAAAGCCGGATAATATTCTGGTGAACGACAGTAAGTTGATGTTGAAATTGTGTGACTTCGGTGCGGCGTCACATGTCTCAGACAATGAAATAACGCCATACCTCGTGTCAAGGTTCTATAGATCACCAGAAATTATACTTGGCGTGCCATATGACCATGGCATCGATATGTGGTCCACAGCTTGCACCATATACGAACTGTCCACGGGGAAAATAATGTTCAGTGGTAAATCTAACAATGAAATGTTGAAATATTTCATGGATTTAAAAGGGAAGATTCCAAATAAAATCATTAAGAAGGGCCATTTCAAGGAACAACATTTTGATAATAATTGCAACTTTTTATACCACGAGCTAGATAAGATTACGGAAAGGGTAAGTGATTCTAATTTGTGCTTATATTTATAATATTTTTTTACCCTCGACGCAAAAACGACGGGGTGTTATAAGTTTGACGTGTCTGTGTGTCTGTCTGTCTGTAACATCGTAGCTCTCGAACGGATGAACCGATTTTAGTTTTGTTTTTTTTTGAAAGGTGAATTAGTTGGGACTGTTCATAGCTATATTTAATGAAAATCGGTCCAAATTGGCCGCCGCCACAAAATGTCGGATTACATATTTTTCACAACTCTCTCAATATGGGTATCAAATGATAGAGCTTGACTAGTAGAATAAATACTATACACTATGATAAATTTCAAATCCAAGATGGCCACCACAAATTGGCGAATTGCATATTTTTTTAAAGATTTTTTATTGCGTCGGGGGCTTCCTAAATTTTTTTTTTTTAATTCTGGCCATATCTATTTATTTTTGAATTCTAAATGATTTGGATTACATTTTGTTTCAGGAGAAAATAGTTATAATGTCAAGTATAAAGCCTACACGCGATCTGCAAACCGAGTTGGCTCCGTCCCACCACCGACTGCCGGCGCCCGAGGCTAAGAAAATCACACAACTAAAAGATTTACTAGAAAGAATGCTAATGTTAGACCCAGCGAAGCGAGCCTCGGTCAACCATTGCCTGGCCCACCCATTCATACAAGAAAAAATATAATAAAACCCTAAATATATTTAATTTTTAACTAAAAACTTATACCGACTTCAAAATCTCTTTTAAAGTAATGACTTCAATAAAAAATTATATGGGACCACCCAAGCGGTATTTGCTAAAAAAGAATCGTGAAAACTGGTTTACAATGAAACTAATTTAATCTTCCTTTTTGAAGTCGGCTAAGATTTTTGTAAATTTTTACCAATGGACTGTGCTAATGTAAATTAGAACGATAACTCAGTATATCAGCTGTTACCTTTGACTGATGAGCAATTTAACATCCTACAGGTTTTGTAGATTGAAGAGGTAGTGAACAAATACATGAATAATTTTGTTTGTGTAGATTTTGGTTACTCTATATTCTTGTGTGTAATGCAATAGGGAATATGCGTTTTTTGTTCTTTTTTTATATATATATAATAGCTTATAATATTTAATATAAAAAGTAATTTAAAAATATCGTACAGATAATGATACTTTAAACTCCCACCATTTTGGCTAGATCTAGATTGTTAGTACTAATCGCAAATACCAAACAACAGCGCTATTAATAGGTATAGACTGAATGTGACGTCAAAATTTATTAAGACTCACGTCAAATTCGGTCTGACCAATGGCGTTGCGTTTCAACTACTTTGAAGTTTGATCTTCCCACCTAGTTTTGCACTTTTCAAAATTTATTTTCGTAACCGAAAAGAAATTCCATTAAAAAATATTGATATAGGCTTAATTCAGAGGCAATAAAGATTATAAAATCACACGCATATTCCATATTGTTGCAGTTTCATTAGTATGATTTCTTTTAGTTTATTACAGATTATGTTATAGCAGTCTATGTCAGTCTAATTTTTTATTCAAGTCATCATTCATTATTTGTCTATATTTTTCTCTTTTACATTATAATTAATGTAAAATAATTACATCACATTACTTGCTTGGTTTTTTTTAAGTTTGTCAATACTGTAATACAATATAGTATAATAGATAAATATAAAGAAAAAGATATTAATATTTTTTTATACTCATTATAAGTTAATTGTATTTTACTTATTCAGTTTTAGTTTGGTTTTTACAAACAAAAATATTCACGTTTTTTTTACACAATTCATAATAGGTTCCTCTTAAGCAAGTGTAAATATCATCGTGTTTTAATTGATCGATGTTTAGATTACATATACAATAATTAAAGACAAGTAATTTTTAAACAATACCGTTAAGGTTACATACTAAAGATATGGATGGATATAAATTTTTTTCTCATTGTCATATCTAAATTTTTATAGGGTAAATATAATAATATGCAGATGACTTGTAGTTAAAATGCGTAGTTGTACTATGGTTTTGATTGGCATATACATATTTGTATAAAGTCACACTAATGGTTTATGTGCACTCACTTGTCCAAATGGATTTCACTAAATTATCAACTAAGAGTACCTACTCTGTTGTTGAGTTTAGTGACAAAGTTAAAAATAAATTATTTAGTTATGTGACATGACTTATTCACTTTATTTAATTATTACCATAGACGTAGAGAATGGACAGCAATACTGGCATGGAGTTGACAAAGAGAAAGCGAACGTGCGGCCAAATACCCCTTTTTTATTCCAATTTGAATTTATAAATGGAATGTAAAAAATCTAGTATAATTGAAAATTATAACATTATAATGGAATGTAAAGTGGTTATAAATATCTATCTTCATTAACAGTACTTCAATTATTACAGAAGACTTCTGGCCGCACATTTGTTTTGTTTCTGTCGCGCCTTTCCGCCATTTGTAGCTGACTGCTGGCAAAGAAATACTCCGTCCACGCGTTCACATGCCCAAAAACAAAATTCTTAGGTTTTACATAGTATAAATCAATCTTACATTGCAGTTTTTGTATTTTTTCTCAGAAATGAGACATTTTGCCGCGGTAAAAAGTATATGTTGACCCGGATAACCAGCTATCACCATACCAAATTTCATCAAAATCCCTCTAGTGGTTTTTCTGTGATGCGTTAACAGACAGGCAAGCAGACAGACAAAAATTCTAAAAAACTATAGATTCGGCCTCTGTATCGATAATAATGTTTATTTAATTAAGATTTGCCAAAAAATATTTACTTATTTGGTCCTATAGTGTAAATTGCGAATTTTAATCTGTGGTACGAAAGTCTGACGTTTACCTCGATGGCCTTTTATGTTTTAACTTTTATTTGTCATCCATGGTTTTAACCATTTGACCATAGAGTATATTGCTACTGCATTTGACATTTGTGACACAAACTTTAGAGAAATGCTACGCATTTTGTGACACAGAATTGTGTCAACTGGATTATTTTAACTTCTTGATTTTTCCTATTTAATAAATTAAATCATATCAGTTTTCTTCTATTTAAGTAAATATCTACATAATGCTTTATCAATATGTTTATTTGTTACGCTTCAACATTATTGTGTAATAAAACTGTTTTTAATAAATGTAGAATTGGACCATGAGTAATAAAGAACTGGACATTTTTATTTAATAAAATGCGTAAGGACAGTATTTTTAGGTAAACTTTTATGTAATAACTTAAGGGAACGATAGCATTGTGCTATTAATAAATAGTTTAACTTTTACTTTTAATATTACAGATTTTAAAATAAGTAAGTTATCGAATAGTCACAATTAGCAAAATATGTTTTCCCCAAATCACGTTTCGCGAGTCCGAACGCTTTATAAGCTTATATTTCGTGTACACCGAGCTCTACCGGATGAATTGCGTATCTTGGGTGATAACTATGCTCGCGAAGAATTCAAACGCCATAAAAATTGCAATCCCGCAGAAGCGAAGATTTTTCTTACTGAATGGACTGTAAGTAATTATTATTTTGTCTCATATTATTAATCTATAAATGTCTACATACTGTCATTTTTATTAAATGTGAATAAAAATCTTTTCAGGATTATGCAATTAATATAGCTAAACAAACAAAACCACTATATCAAGTGAAAAAGAAAACTGTGGGCAAATATTTAGACCCCAAGGTGTTGGACTATATGAGTGATGAACAATTAGTGCAATTATATGAATTACACAAAGCTGCCTCATTAGAGCCTGAAGAAGGTTCAAATAAAGTAAAGGAGAAGAGTAATAAAGACAGTAATGGCAGCTAATGATTAAGGATCATAGATTTTATTTAAAATGAAATTTTGACAAATGTTTATATCAATTTGATTCAATTATTTATTTTAGATGCATTATATTAATCTTGCAATGTTATGCAATGCGAATGAATTTTATGCACTATCAAATGTTATTGTTCATTATTTATTTTAGTTTTTGTAGTAAATGATTGTAGTGCTTATACCACTTAATAAATATGACGATAATAATTTTGTGTATTATTGTGTTATTATTTTTTACTATTAAATTTAATTTATTTATAGAACATTCCTGTTGTCATAATTTTATGATTTCTCTTTTTGAAAGGTTAAAAATAAAAGTCTAAGCAGTGAACATGTTGATATATTTAATAGTACTTATATTAATATCTAGGTAAGGCTTTCATATTAAATGCTTTGCAGTACATATATGTACACAAGAACTACAACAGCTTATGTTGTATTAAAACTAAATATTTGTTTGAAATTTTAATTATGAGAAGGTATTTTTAATAACTTTCCATTTATTTGTTAGCACCGGTGGAATTTTCTTAACATAATATAGGTATATTTATTTACACTTAATGTAACTAAAAATTTAAATATACAAATAAAAGTATGAATATGAAAATAATTAAAATCATATTTCATTGATAGTGATAAAATAAGCACATGTACAGCATCTTGCGGACCATTCTAAACAGTTGTGTTAAAAATAATAATGGCAACATAGATATTAGATATATAAATATTTTTAGAATTTGTATATAAAATAATTAAATTCCCAAAGGTAAGGCTTTTTAGAAACACTACCTATAACATAGAGCTGGTGTATGATTATGAATTCTTTGAAGATGATAATAAATTCACAACATGATATTTAAATATAATTATTTAATTTTAATGAGAGATCTTAGTTTTGTTAATTTACTTCATACTGAGTCCACACATTCACATACATAAGTTGCTATTTAACAAGGTAAGAGATACTTCTTTACTTTTTCATAATATTAAAAAATTCTACATAAATGTATCACAAATAAAGGCACTAATTTTATTAGTTTATTTACTAATGAATACTATTTTATCTTGAAATTAAAAGATAAAAAAGTAAATTATGATAAATTTACATTAAAATAAAGACAGTGAAATATGTATTTATGAATGTAAAAAATCTGTTGTATTGTTGTTGTTTTTATATATTATTTGTTAGAGTTATGTTTTTTGTCTTCCTGACAACACCCAAGATTATTTTCAGAACAAGAAATATTTATAAGAATATTTTTCGCAATTTGTACAGTAATTAATAAACCTTTCAGAATATTTCAAGTAAAGAATTTGAACAAATATTGAAAATTACCTTTTCATTACATTAAAATAATATTAACAAGCTGAAAAAACTGCAACAAATACAAAATAATCTATTAAACATATTACATACATTATTATATACTATTTACATCAAAAGAGAAAATAGCTAGATAAGCAGTCAGTGTTATGATACAAAGGGATGATGTTTCCTAAGGGAAATAAATATAATTTAAAATATGTAATAACTAATAAATATACCTATTCTGAGTTATCTATTAATTAACATAGTAGGTGCTTAATACACAAATAATAAACAAAAGTCATAAATCAATTTTCTTTTCTACATTTTTAATTTCTTCAATAATTATAATCATTACTGGTACCTCTCTTATCAGTTTTCATTATTTTGTATACAGTCCATTTACATGTTCGATGAAAACGAAATAATTTAGTTACATCTTTCTAAGTGCTAGATTTTGTTGTTGTTATCGATTGATAACAACTCGTAGTAAGGCTACTCTAAAGTATACAATATGTACATTGGGTATATTATTAAGTCTGTACAGTCTATCTCAGCATTAGCATGTGAAAGCCGACTTCAGCCACTGAAACAAAATAAAAGTCGATAAAGCCCTTTATTGAGGATTTCAATACAATTTGCTTTCACGAAAATATAATTGTAAATGTTATATGGCAATGAAATAGAATTTTGGTTTTTTACAAAATATACACTGGCGTGCAAAAAAATCGGGCCACCCTTAATTTTAAGCATAATTTTTTGTTGACAATTGTTTGGTGAAAAAAAAACCGCAAAGGTAATTAAGGAGATTAGACGCCTTTGTTTCCTTCAAAAAAGTCATAAAATTGCTGGAAATGCACGTGTGCGCTTAACTATAGTCAATTAGCAGTAATTAGTGAATATTTGCATAATATGGATTGAAGCCACAAATACTGTTTTATGTTATTTTAGAAGCTTAGTTGAGTTCCAATTATTGAACAAGGCATTTCTACTTTGATCTGCGAATATTAGAAATACTGCAAGATGGATCTGACCGAGGCTGCATCATCTCGAATTGTACCTTTGCTTGAAACTGGACAAAGTCAACGTCAAGTGGCTCAAGCTTTTTCTGTGAGCCGTTCTACGGTCCAGAGAGTGTACAAACGTTACATAGAGACTGGTGGCTTTGTACGACGACATGGTTCCGGCCGACGAAGAGCCACATCAGAGTGTTATGATCGATTTATTGTGTCATCAGCTCTAAGAAATCGTCATCGCACAGGGGTTGACGTTCGAAATCTCCTGAGAGAAGTGAGAGGTGTTAATGTTAGCGAGTGGACAGTAAGGCGCCGACTTAGAGCCGCTTCCCTGAAGCCACGCAAGTCCGCAACTGGCCCCAAACTCACCCCTGCACATCGAATTGCAAGATTACTTTTTGCCCGAGATCACGTGAATTGGAATTTGGAGCAGTGGAAGAAGGTTCTTATTACTGACGAAAGCAGAATGTGTTTGCATGGTGCCGACGGCCGTAATTTTGTTTACCGGCGACCAGGTGAAAGATATGCACCATGCACTATGCGGGAAACAGTGTCATATGGAGGGGGCTCAGTTATGTTTTGGGCAGGATTCTGTTACGAAGCGAAAGCTGAGCTTATATTCATAGAAAATGGATCCCTTACAGCCGCTAGGTATATAACGGAGGTTTTAGAAGATCATTTATTGCCTTTTACTAGGTTCATTGGAGAAGATTTTCTGCTTCTACAAGATAATGCTCGCCCACACACTGCTACATCAGTAAGGCAGTATCTTCAAGAGGTCGGAGTGTCTACTATTGCCTGGCCAGCGCGAAGCCCTGACCTCAATCCGATAGAGCATGTATGGGATCATCTCAAAAGAAAAGTTAGAAGTCGCGTAGTAATCCCGAGCAACATTCAAGTATTAAAAAGCGCCTTATTCGAAGAATGGGAGTCTATTACACAAGATTATCTAAAAAAGTATGTCGAATCTCTGAAAAACCGATTAAAAGCTGTAATTAAAAATAGAGGTAATACGCATTATTAAAAATCATAAAACCAATCGAAAGCTTTTAATTTTCCCATTAATTTGCGGCTTACCTAGGGTATACAGCTACCCATATATAATAACAAAATTTATAAAAAAATATAATATCTTAAGTTTGTCCATTTTCTCTAGGTGGCCCGATTTTTTTGCACGCCAGTGTATTTGAAAGTGTAGCTTACAAGTTTTAGTCGGTACCTACCTCAGAAAAAGTCAAATTAACTTTCAATGTACTCGTAGAGAAGTTACTGAAGAACATATCTGAAATATGATATGTCACTATAAAGCATAATTACTTTCCCCACTATATTGTCATTACATTAAGTTATCAGTGTAAGTGTTAGTATATTATAGGTACCTATTATCTTTAGCGTACATGCGAGTATAATTATATTGCAAAATAAGTTATATTTGTAATAAGAATTAATTTATTTTGAAATGAAACTTAATCATATTTGTAATATAATAAAAGCTAAAAAAAATATATAGCGTTTACGTTTGGATAACATATGAATATTAATAATTACCCTACACCAAAGTGTACACCTGGAATATATTATCTACTATGCAAAATGTACAAGTATAGTATTTATATATAGGATAGTTAATAGTTAGAGTTAAATACAAATCACTTACGAAATGCTCTGTGAAGAAGAACAACAGCTGATACGAAATCTCCAAATCGCAGCATTCCGTCTTTTCTCATATACTTCAATACTAGTAGCGATAATGCTTTCTCGGGTATGACGAAGCCGACATCGCGGAGGGCGTCACGAAACCTCTCGATCCTGAGGACACTCATTTTCTCCGGCGCATGAGCTCTGAACACTACCTGCCAGTGCTTCAAGCTACATATGAGGTCCTTAAAATCAGATAGAGTTATCCGCCCCGAGCCGTCCTTCTGAAGGTAGCGTTTAAGAAATATTTTCGTAAATTAAGTATTTCTAGTAATCGTTTGTTTTCGTATTTTTTTTGGCGGCTATTAGCGACTCATCCTCGCTTCGCTTAGATGCGTCATGTACCTTACACTAAGCATGTGTTACTCTAGGTTTATCTGTGTACTAAACATCCAAATCTGTCCAGCCGTTTTAGCGTACAGAAATAATGTTATTTCTAATTTAAAACATTCACAAACATACATTTTTACATTTATAATATTAGTCCCATTGTAGTTTTCAACCGACTTCCTCAAAAAGGAGGAGGTTCTCAATTCGGCTGTATGTTTTTTTTATGTTTGTTACCTCAGAACTCCGTCATTTATTAACCGATTTGGACAATTTTTGTTTTGTTTGAAAGTATATACTTCCAGATTGGTCCCATTTAAATTTCAAAAATAACTAATGATAAATTTAATCTACTTCTAATTGTCATATTGATTTGAAACTTTGCATGTATTTTTATTGCCTTTGATAGTGCAGTGGTTCGGTATCGTTAACCTGATCTGATGGTAAGGCCAGAAGGTGCATAGGTGGAACTCTTCAACGGCTAATAGTAGATACTTTGAGTTTGGGCTTATTTTGTTTGATTTGACAAACGTAACACTTTAGAATCGGATTTTAGAGGCAGAATTTTTAGTGTTACTAGTAAAAGCGATTCTTAGTTTGTAAGTCTTCGTATAAAAATTCTCATCAAAGTAACTTCAACGGTTTAAGCGAATATTTTATTAAAATACTTTCTTCTTACTTTATTACTACTATGTCTACACTAAAAAGGGAAAAATAAAAACTTTTTAACATAAAAATAAAAACCGACTTCAAGAAAAGCTCTAAAAAGTAAAATATAACTGATTGGTAGTTTTCATTTACTATACGTACCTAATCAAATATTCTCGAAGTCGGTGCCAGCCGATATAAAGCAAAGCACACCTTTTTTTTACTTTTTAGTGCTTTTCTTGAAGTCGGTTTTTATTTTTTTGTTAAAAAGTTTTTATTTCTTTTCAATTTAATAGACGTAAAGGAAAAGCTCTATTTATTTAATACTTTCTTAGATTTACGCGAATATTTGACATTTTAAATAAAACTATCTTTTCGGATTTTGTCGCGGATTTATTTGTGTTGTTTACAAATAAATCCGCGACAAAATCTGAAAAGATAGTTTTATTTAAAAGCTCTATTTATTTTTATTGAATTATTTATAGAAATATTTTATTATATTAAAAAAAAATTAGGTAAAATAAACGTACATAGTAATAAGATATTATTTATAAAAGGATACATCCATCGACAAAATTATTTGCCTACAAGTTTCTATTGTCGCACAACTCTTTATATAATCATTTGGTAGACATCTTTCGAGTAACTCTTGCAGTTCAAATGCGTTTATAGTTTTGTGCTCGTCAGCTATCTGAATAAATTGTGACTCGTACTGAGCAAAACTATTTGACTCGATGCCTGGCGGTGCTTTTAGCACTGCAGCTTTCAGCATCTGTGGGGCGCAGTCCAAAACATTCATCTTATGTTGCTTTAATGAAAATACTCTTACTGAAAAGTTGGCTTCTTGTCTCGGTTCGAAGGTAGTTGGTATCACTAAATAAGTGCCGGCTTCTAAGTGACACCTGAAATCCAATTTTTTTTTAATTTAGAGTTAAAGTTTAGGTTTGCTTATATGTAATCTTAAACAGTTGAGTTCCATAAATAAGTATCGCAAAGTTCTATTTAAAATTAGTCCACTAATTTCGCATGGCATGATAATACACCTTCGCCAATATTTATCACATCACTCACCTCTCACTAACTTGCCGACTGTTTGTGTATTGAGAATTAATAGAACTCTTCGTCTTTTTGAAAAAAAGTGGCGTAGCTGTCTCCGTAAGAGGTTTTGTAATTTTATAAATACTGAATCCTATAACTTTTGGTTCCATGATACTGTGTTGATTTAACGATATTATGATGGTATCTGGTTCATTTAGCACTAACTGTATTTGGGGGTTCATGTGAAAAAAATCTAAAAATAAAATATAAATTAATTAAAAATTACTTAATTTTTAGTGTACTATATATATTTATTGTATAATGTTATACTAAGTTTTATAATTTGAAACAAACTGATCAAATTATTACAAAACTAACAGCATTTAAGAACCTTCTAGAGCTACTTACTAACGTGGTTTCTACATCCACCCGCGGTTACACCTTTCTTCCACCTTCCTTGATGACTTTTCACTTGCCATTTTTGTTTATCACTCAATGACGTTTCAGCTTTACTCGTTTCTATATCTAAGTGTACCATTTCCACGCGAGAGAACATTGAAATAAAATCGTTGTATAGCATCCAGAATCCTTTTGTGGTAGAAGTTAGTCTCTCTCGTTCGTGTACCGGGATGGAACTCCAACTAGATTAGATTTAAAAAATATATTTTTAGTAATGTAAATAAAATATTGAAATACTGTCGCCTAACTATGATATATGGAACTTGTCCAAACCAATCAAATGAGCCAAATCTCGATATTTTATATATAGCCATTGTTGAATGCCACTATACATTTTCGTGTCTACATCATCAGATTAGCTCAATGATTTGCGGTAACACCAAAATTATTAAGTTAATGCTAAAGGTTTACCTTGCATGATCCAAAACAAAATGTGTAATGTGCGTATCTCCTGGCACCGGCGGCCTTGCTAGCCGCACCAAAAATACTGGTCCTTCTATGGTTTCTATCTAAAAAATACGAAATGATTACCTAATGGTATATATAATAAAATAGTAACAAAGAGAAATCTATAAGTGAAATCTTTTTTAAAAACAATCACTGTTATTTTTTGTGTACAGAATATAGACCTGAAAACAATGTGCATTTCACGCAAACAAGATTAGAAGAAAAAGAGAGAAATTACTGAAGGGATTTTAACTAAGTTTTATGTAGTAATAAAGGTAAAGGTCAAAATTTAGGATACTTTTTACCAATTTAGGGAGGTAAAATCTCATTTTCCTTGCAAAATCCATAACTTAATTCGAGCAAAAAACGATATATGACGATTTTTCGTCAAAAAAACTGTTTGCTTAAGCTTTCATGGCTAAATCTTAAGATATACACCAAAATAGTGTACTAAATCATTGTAGATCTTAAAAAGTCCCACAAAAAAATGACGTGTGTAGGTATATTCTAAGGTACACTCAGAATTATTTTTAACCATTTAAAAAGTAACCAGGGACCCACCCAAACGACGGGAGGTTAAGTCGCTAGTAATGAATATTTGAAATGTTGTAATTATAAGAACGAGTAAAACCTTAGAATAAAATTAAACAAATTTTAACATTATGGTATATTCCAAAGCCAAAAGCATTGTCTACAGTTCTTACTGATTGTACACACCGACGTTTTCACTTCAATATTCACGCTACAACAATATATTATGTGTATCTATACTAATTTATAAAGAGGTAAAGTTTGTGAGCTTGTGACGTTGTAGGGGGTAATCTCTAGGTCTACTGAACCGATTTATATGAAATTTGGTAAAAAGATAGTTCGAGACCCTGGGAAGGACATAGGATACTTTTTACCGCAGAAATCATCAATTAAAGAGGTGAAAATGGAGATGATAGTTTGTATTGGCAAGCAAACTAGGGACGAACCAGAGCGAAGCGAGGATGAGTCGCTACTTATTATCTATACGTCCTTCCGGAAATCGAATCCGCTAACTGATTTAATGGCAGGAATATAAAAATATAAATTAGCTTACCTTCTCAACATTATAAAGTCTATAATTCATTCCAGATTCTATGCTTTTTACTGAATGCGTTACTGCCTGAAAAAATAATAATAGTGGCCATAAATAAGGGGAAATACGTATTATATATAACAATAGATATATCAGCATGCATTTTTAATATTTAAGATTCTTACATTCGGTAACCGATAGGCTGTGACTATACTTGTGGTTTTCATAAGACTATGTAAAGCAGCTGCGTCGCTAAAGTCGGTGACATTTAGTGATTCTGTGATACCGCCGGTGAGATCCGCAAGACCGTCCAAAAGGTTGCCGTACTTAAGTGCTTCATAAGATCCGTGCATCCTGAAGACAAGTAGTTATTTTAAGATTTTATTTAAAAGTTGATTATTATCTATTATATTTTTTATACTCTTCTTGATTTGTTGTTACGTACTAATTTTACTTTGAAATTTAAAAAGTTTTGGTAGATATAACTGAGAAATTTTACTAACTTTGCATATGCCTTTTCTAAAAGAGCTGGCCAAAGTTGCTCTGAATTACTGCAATGCATGAACGCTAATTTTCCGTGCACCGTCGGTAACCTGTCGTCTACCAATACTTCTACCCACTGCCCACACCACCAAAGGCGAAATCTGTAACATGAATATTATAATGGTTTTTAAATAAATGTTAAATTTTAATAACCACTCTTTTGGACATGTTTTGAAATCAATAATATTTAGTTTATATTGTAAATACCTTCGTTCTAACGCAATTCAAAATTATTGGACATTATTGGATGGTAATATAAAAAAGTATGATGTTAGATTTATTCACGAAAAGTGAGATCTTTTGTAGTTTTTATTTCCGTATTAAGTAAGCTTTTTTATATACAAATTATAGCATATATTTTTATCTTTTTATGAGTATTTTTACAGTTCTAACTTTTAAATTGGTGGATGATTTTGACAGAATATATATATTTTTTTCACGTAAAATTTAAAAACTAGGCGCCCTTGTTAAATAGCCTAAGAGTCCCCGCTGCTGCTGCCGCAGCCAGGCTGCCTAGTGCGCGGGTTCACTTATTGTATTAAATAATTCGTAAGTAATTACCTAGTGAGATATGAAATTGTAACGGAGTTCATTTTTATTTACTTTAGTTTAGCAGAGTAGAAAACAAATGTATCATATTTTTATGTATCTGTTTTAAGTAATTACGAAGTTCGTAATTTGTTTTCACACTAACCTAAATATTCCAGCATAATTAGAATCGATGCGTTGGTTAGCGGGCACTACTCTGTAGAAAAGTCCTTTGCTTAAATACAACACCCCAACACATGACAGCAACCATTTATCTCCTAAAACAAAAAAAAATGTGGTTAAGAAAATACTAAAATAAATATACATGATATTATATAAAAAATATATATATATTTATCTAAATGCGTTAAGTCATTTAATCATTACAAAGTTATGTGAATGTAGAAATAATATCATGGCCTTTAAAAGAACATCTGTTCTTTATACATTCCTTGTTTCACACCATATATTGAACGAAGGTTGAGGACATTGAAGGTGATTTATATTTATTTTAAATTAGATAAAAAACCTTAAAAATATTGAACAAGAACGAGTTTTTAGAAATTAAAATAATATTTCTAGTTTTATATTATTTACAAGAGAGTATGTGTACGAATACATTATTTATGAATATAATTTAAATTCCTTTTGGACTTTATTGCTAATTCTCATTCAGCCAGTAAATGGGTAAGAATAATAAAATGATGGAAGTAGTTATTATACAATCGCCTCGATACCGTTATGTCTTCCTTCTCACGCCTTACTTACATTAATATGATTGATGGTATATCAAGAAAATTATTGGCCTCGTTTATTAATATATGAAAAATATAGAATAATATGTGAACTTAAGAAGATCTTCCTAGGTTATTTTTTATTATATTTTTTATTATTTTAACTAAACATATTAGAAGATGATAAACCCTTAAAAAAAGGAAAATTTCATATCTTTTATTAACTCAAGTTAGCCCGTAATGGTTAATAATTTTTAATAAATAATATAATTCTCAATTTACGTAACGTGTCGCACTCGCATTGCATAAGCATGTATTATTTCTTATAACAATTCTTTTAATATTATTCTCGAAATAGGGCAGTCTGATCAAATTATTACCTATTAAGCGGAAACTCACTGGCGTGTACATAAACATCTAAGACAGCAAACAAAGGAATTTAACCTGAGACCTTTGCGTAAAAGCGACTGTGACCATTTCATCAGTTGGGCGGATATAAAAGAGAATCTAATACAATACATACGTATATATTGTACAATGTACATGCTTAAGATTTATAAATGCTTAAGACGTTTTTACAATCGCAATGCATATTATATATACAATTTTACATTAGATAAATTTCGTATATATTCGTCTTTCTTACTTTTGCTTGGAGTTTAGACATGTCATTATGTACAATCGTTAATGAATAGGAATTTAAAAAAATATACGGCATTGACGTATCATGATTCTAAAGATTTATTGTCATTTTAATACGGCTTTTAAAACTATTCTTCAACAATTGTACTTTAATTATTACTAATTTGCTGTTTGTTTGTTTGCTGTAAAGTATTATGTTATAGTTAAATGAAAACATTACATTATTAATTAATAACGCTATAACTTGATAAAAAAGGTAATTCTTAATAAAATAAACATTTCAACACAAGCGGTGAAAAATTGTTGTTTCTTTATATATCTGTGCTCGGTAACAATATTCAAACGACATAGCAGTTGCCCACTGCCTTCACAACGTTCGCATTTGCAAAGATTAATATGTAGCGGAAAAACTAGTATTTAAATTCATAATAAATATATCAGTAGGTATATATTCTTCATGTGTATTGGTCATATTAATTGTCTGGTCCTAGACTTACCAAGTCTGCCGGTCACTACGTCGAACGTGTCGTTGTTATCCAGTATAAACTTTGGGTTTGCATATAATTCCTGTAAATAATTTCGATATTGGTTAATTAAGCAAACTACTAAGAAACTTAAATGAAACAGAATGTTAAAAATAAGAGGGTCACCTTCATACCTTTACTAACATCCGAAAGTATCATAGATTTTATAATTTGATGAGAAGTAAAGTAACATCAGTACTTCTACCTGTATAAGTAGTTCTTTGTACTTTAGAAACTTTATTTTCTTATTCATAAAAGTTAAAATTAATTTAATATAACTCCCAAAATGTAGCAAGATAAAAACTTCTTAGAGAATTTAAAATGAGTTGTTACAAATTATCATATTAAGTAGTTGCACATAGCTGTTGCACATATATGTAGGTGGTAGACGACGACCTTGCCGAGCAGGTAATTCCTACATAAGTTAAGTTGTTATCTGCTGATGTTACAAGTTAAGAATAATCTAACGTGACGGTCAACTGAAAGTTTTGAACTTTACTTAGAGTTATTAAATTAAGGATTTTGAGTACACTATAAAAGTAAATAAGGCGATACTGAAAATAAACTATTTAATTTCATACATAAGTAATTTTTAAGTTGGAAAGTTGAAAACATTAATTTGATTTAGAAAAGGAAACCAACGTCTCTATCCGCTATATAAAGCATTGCACGGACACGACACCGCGAACGGTTGCCGAAACATGAAGGTCAACGACTTGAGCACATTTATTAGGCACGAAAAATCAAAATTAAGTAATGTTGCTGCGATATACTTAGAAGACAATCATGAGAAAAATATAGAATATTTTTTATATTGAAATTCTACAAAGTAAATCATTTTTTAAAAAGTGTTTTTTTTTAATAGATATACAGATTTTAGACGTTAGTTTTTATTGTGTTCTTCGATTTGAGGGTTTGTTACCCCGAGCAGTAGAGCAGAATGTTAGTAGCGCTACATAATTATAACGGTAAGGCTCCTTCGTCTTAACGTGCTCTTTCCTTTTCTAAAACGTACCTGGAATTGACTCGATTTAGATGGTTACAAATTAGGTACAGCTAATAACTATATTCTGTCTATTTATTCTTCACTTTTCAATTGTTTTTTTTGTTCGGTAGGGTTTAATTTAATAATATATACTGTTTTTAAATTGATATCTTTTTTCTATAAACTTTCTATTAATTTCATTGCTTTTAAGATTATGTATGTACATATATGTATACTAAGTAATTGTTCCTAAACATACAGAATTAACTTAAAAAAATGAATAATATTCCATATTTAAATATACGAATTATTAAAAGATAAATTTCGACGAAACTTGCACTGAATAATCTTCTAATCTAATGATGTTATTATTCATATGAAGAAAGGTGAAAGTAATCAAGTGGCCTACATTTGAAGTGTTGATGGTTATTTGCATACAATTTTGTAACTTGTTTCAAGGGAGTACTCAAGAATATTTGCGTTAAGCATTTAAGTGTTTGACATTTTGTAAATAAGTCATCGATCAATGTTATTTTCAATTTCATTGGAAGTAAAATATGAATGGATTGATAGTATTTTTTTATTTTATCCGTTGATTTCAAGTAGCACGTTATGCACAGTCACTTTTTAACGCGCTTAATGTTTCCAAATATTTTAGACCATTCACTACTTTGACCGTTCCCACTAAAACATTTTGCAATTATATTTTGTATCACTTTAGTCAATTAGTGTAAGTACTTACTTTAGCACGTTTCCATTCAAAAGTAAAGGGAGGGACTTGGTGGTAGAAAACAGAGGGCTGCACCGCGGGGAAGTCGGGGTCTTCCCATAGCTCATGTTTTTGAAGGCAACTTGTTTTAATGCGCTCGTACTCCGTCATCCTGTATTTTGAATAATAGTACTAATTAATTTATCGTTATTTTTATAGTCCCATTGCTACTACATATGAAAGAATCAAGTAGATATAAATATTATAGAAATATAAATACCTTTTTAAAATAAATGCCGTTATTTGTACATTTCTCGTGATACATCTTTTTTTTATTTATACTATAAATATGATTTTTTTTGTTCATTTATGCTTCTTACACGTTTCAACTAAGCAGCGATCAGAAGTGATGTTTGACATTAAGATAGAAAATGGGTCGATGGTTATTAAGAACAATTTATATTATCCGGTACGAACTGTCGTTGCACTCAGGACCTCGGAAAATAGTATATATTATAAAGAGAAGATCTGAAGAACACATGATCAAAAAAGTGAGTGTTAAGAATAAATAGTCTTGATTCGACGACAGTCGAGAAATGAGGTCTTTGGAGAACTAGATTTTTAGTATTTAAATAAAAAGATACGAACTATTCAATATTAAAACTTTCTATCATTCAAGGAATTTGTAAAATATATGAGCCCGGGTAGCCTACAGTTTATTTATGACAAAAAATTCCAATGACGTGCTTGTTACGTTATTGACATTGATGAAATAAAAAAAATATTCGTATTCATTCGCAAGAAGAGTTTCCATTGTAAAATGAAACAATTGGTAGTATTACCATTGAACGAAGGAGAAAACTGAAATTGTGTTCATCGTTGACTTATATAAAGTTAATAAATTATTATAATCTTGGAGAAAATATAGACAAAGAATAAAAAAAAAGTGAATATGTTTAAATATCTTTTTATTTAAACATATTCACTTTTTATACATTGGCTTTTATTAGTATGTAGTACTATTTTTATTTCATATATAAGTACACAAGAATCTTCATATGTTGTTGTAAAATGTTAATATAAAAAAATGAGTGTAATTACCACACACATTTATTTATATACAAAAGACTTCAACGCGTTCGTATCGTTATCATTAAATACATTATTTATCTATTTTATCAATAAACTAGCATTGCTCGCGGCTCCGCCCGCGTTCGGATGACAAAAAACCAAATTCTTAGATTTTACATATAGTATACTCCTTCATTGCAGTTTTTGTATATTCTCTCAGAAATGATATATTTTCCCGCGGTAAAAAGTATTCTATATGTTGACCCGGATAACCAGCTATCATAATACCAAATTTCATCAAAATCCTTCCAGTGGGTTTTCTGTGATGCGGTAACAGACAGACAGACAGATAGACAGATAGACAAAAATTCTAAAATCAATAGATTCGGCTTCTGTATTGATAATAAAGTCTATTTCAATAAGATTTTCCAGAAAATATTTAATGTACAGATTCGGCTTAGTTAGAATTTTATTATATGTATAGATGTCAATCACTTAAAAGTTAATCTCAGCTTATTATTAATTACTCAGCTAGTTTTTTTTAATATTTGTAAATAGTTAAAATACAAATACAGCGTAATGTTATTTACACTTTATAATTTTACGTTAACACATGAGTTTGTTAACACTATGATCATATGGTGCATTGCTTATATACGATGATTTCATTTGTTAATGATAGTTATTAGTTTCATAATAAACAGCATTTCAACATTTAAGTGATTATATATGACTATTGGCTTTTTTTCTCTAGTTTCACGCTTAAGGATGCATATTCTCTTTATTTCACTCCAATTTAGGGCTTCTATGGAAATAATTTTCGTATAAATTATTTAGTTAATACAAAATGTTAGAAATTTAGAATAGAAAATGCAATTGAAATTTCTCCAACCGCAAATGGAAGTAATAAAAAGAGTAATAGTACAAAAATTGTTATTTTGGTTTGAGGTCCGTTGTTCAATGTAAAAATGTTCAACATTAAAACTCAGTTAATGTTTTTATTTAATTATATATTAAAAGAGAGCCAATTTGAGAAGCGTCAATATTTTAAAGATATATTATATACTTATAGGTATGATACTTGGTAGAGATTCATCTTGAACTCCTAACAGGTTGAGCATTGAAAACTTGATTAAGAAAGAAAGTTGACGCTACTATATGAGGGCAAGAAACATAATTAGACTTAATACGCATTTACCATTATCTATTTAATATATAAAATAGAATTGATAGAGATTTTGCCCATAAAATATGAAATTTACATTACATACAGTAATCCAAAGAGATTTAAATATAGAAACATACTGTTTCAGAATAATAAAAATATCTAACACTATTACTTTCAATTTTCTTATGAGGTAATGTTATCAGTAATAAAGATTGATGTAGTATATTAAGTTTAATGAAAAACTTTCATTTTAATAAATATAATAAATAATAATATTTTCGTTTTTTATTAAAGTAAATTCAAGCAAGCAATGCCCGCGCAGGCGTAAGGCCCGCAACACAAGCGCATACCATAAAATGGAACGACTCACAGCGACCCACTTGTTCAACTCTCCACTCCGCATTGGTGTGGAAATGAAGTTGAGTGCATGGTGTCCGCGCACCGAGCGTTCCAAGCGATAGTATTAAATAATTTTATTTACAACTTCCTTTACTTTTAGGCTTGATTTATTATATTAGAGAAATCGTATTAATTCACGTGGAAAAATTTGCGTGGATATTTCCGCTAGATATGCTTATTCTTTATTATATTATAATCACATTCTAATTTAAGTATGTACGTTATTTAATATAAAATTATTTTAAATAAAGTATTCTTAACTTTTCACACGTACTATGCATATAGATGTTTTGTTGTAATAAATTTTAAATGACAAAGAAACATATAATTTAAAATTAGTAAATATTATGTAATGAAACCACTGATTAAGGCATAATATTGTCAAGTAACATACGTGAATAAAATTTATTTCTTCTTATTACGCTATAGCCTGTAATTTAATACCAATTGTATTGGCGAACTACCGGACATATGCACACGTGCTTGACTCGTTTAACTTAACCATTCACAAACATTAAGAAACCTCATATTATTTGGCAAATTTCTAAAATTACTGCACTGCCGTGCCGGCCAGCTTGAATGTCAAGATTTTATTTGTTATTTTACTTCTTACAAAATTTACATGAAGTATATTTTTATAGATAAATTCGAGCATGAGTAACTGAAAGCTATTACGAGAAAAATTAGTTGAACACATTTCAATGCCAGTGTTACATAAAATTGAGAATATAGGTAATGCTTATCATTCTTTGATAATAATTTTGAGTATAATATTTTTTAAGTAGTGGAAATGATACTGAAATTGGGTTATTCCGATATAAAAATATCTAGTTCAAATCAAGTTTTGTAAAAAAAAACCCTACATGTGGGTTAATATTGCTGTCATCAGGAGGCACAACAGGTAAAATCGGTATCAAGTATGTATTTTTTTTTATTTATAAATATATAGAAGTACGCCGTATGTGGTTGTAAGAAGGAGCCTCGTTCACCAACTTTCTATTTCAGATTTAATTTAGGCAAAGTACAGACTTGTTTGAAGCATACTTAATATTTTTAAAACATAGTTTTAATAAAATAAAGAAAAAGAAAAATATAATGTTAGATAGGTACTTTTTGTATAACATTTATATTTTCGGTTAACTTAAAGTATGTATTACATAGATTTTTAATAGAAACTCCGATTCCATAATATTACTACCAGAAACAAACATTATCTACGAATAAAGATAAAAAAATCCCATATAATTAGCAATAACTGGAAATGTATGAGTTTCCTTCAAAAATTGTAAATAAAAGATTCCCTCATTGATGATTTGTTTTTATTGTAATTATCATTATAAAGAAGACATGTCAAATTCTTTAAGACTTTATGAATCTATTGATAAATATTAAATAATAAAAAATATCTATAAACAATGAAAAATATGTATGAAAAATTAAATGAAAAAAAAAGACTTACTTATGTTTACAGAAAGGAAAGTTAGTTACAATTTCATAAAATAACAAACAATTAGATATTTTAGTAACATACCTACGTATATTTTATAAACAGCTGTAATATTTTATTAAGGATATCTATCTACTATATTAATAAAGTAAATTATTGAGTGGCAAGTTACCTGGGTTTTGTAATTTTTAAAAATTAAAGATGCCGATATCAGTTAGATAGCGAAATAGCTTACTCGTCAATTATAGGGACGCTGAAGTAGTCTACAACCAGTATTAGAGATACATACCTATATTAGATCGTCTGTATGATACATTTAGATAATCTGTTAATGAAGGAGGCAGTGAAAAGATAATACGATTTGTCAACCGTATATTACGTCACTTACCTTAGTCAGTACTATACATTGTCTAACACACTGCACTATGCACGATGTAAAAGCACTCACGCGCACGCTACACTGTTGGGAGGTAACTGGTTTTGCGATGAACTTCTCGAAACAGTCTCCCCTCTCTCTCCTAAGGCAGTGACCATAGTTTATATGGCGGAATTAAAAATATTGTTTTACATTGAAATCAATATTAAGAAAGTAATATTTTTATATCTGACTTTTTTATCATATACTATTACATACTATACATTATTGCTGAGAACAGTATTATATAAGCACTTGAATAAGCAGGAGTAGAATTTTTATTCAATACTAGCATTGCCCGCGGCTCCGCCCGCGTTCAGATGACCAAAAACTAAATTCTTAGGTGTTACATATTAGTATACTCTTACATTGCAGTTTTTGTATTTTTCCTCAGAAATAAGATATTTTCCCGCGGTAAAAAGTATCCTAGGATCGCGCGCTACATCGCCCGGTTTATATAGCTTGAGCAGGCGGTCGAGCGATGCGGGGCAGAGGGGATGGACTCGCCGTAGGCATCTCAATGCTCGCCAAGCATTAAAAATGTTTCGCTACTAATTACTTCTAACAACGATATCTCAAAAACTATTCATCTGATTGATTTAGTGTAAAGAGCAATTTTAATCTGCATTAAATGACTAAGCTAACTAAAATATTCATTTGGATAAGGATTAATACCGAACTAAAGAAAATAACTTTGAAAATAACGTAATGTTTTTAATTAAAAATGTTAACATAAAAGTGGTTATTGTAAGTCAACCGTAAGAGATAGAGATATGCTATCGCGGACTTTTTTGTAGCATTTTTATAGATTTTGAATTCTCTAGTACATTACTTAACTGTATCTTTGCTAGTTTACGCGGCGTTCGCGTGGAAAGTTCCCATTTGGCGAGATTTTTTGCGACCTCTTCAACATTTGTCGCCGTATTTCAGCTAATTTACATAAAAGCATAATAAATTATATACCTAAACCTTCCTCAAGAATTACTCTTTCTATTGTTGAAAACCGTATAAAAATCCGTTCAGTAGTTTTCGAGTTTATCGCGTACAGACAGACAGGAGGACAGAAAGACGCGGCCGGGGGACTTATTTTTATAATAAGTATAGATGTAATTAAATAATTTTGGAAATTTTGGCAATAAAAAAGCAACTGAGCTCCCAGTAGTAACGCGCTTGTCTGGTAAGCCAAGTGAAGTGGGTTCAGATCCTGGCTCTCGAACTACATTCTCAAATGCGAATCATTTTTAACATGATTATCACTTGCCTGTCGGTCTGAGAGAACCTAAAAGTTTCCGAAAAATATTTCAAAAAACAAACAAAGCACTTGACCAGTGTGGTGGACTATGGCCTGGCCCTCTTATTGAAGGGAGAATTCACGTAATTCTGACTCATTATGTTACATGAGATTCATCAAGACAAATCAATTGAACCCAAGCTCTCAGATTTTACTAGTAGTCATTGAAGAGCTCCCTGCTCTACTATCCACCTTCTGACTCCGTCATATCATTACGATGTTATAAAAGTATATATAGCGATAAGAGATATAAAAGTTTGTTAATATTGACTTCAACGATTTTATTAAAAAGAAGAAAACAATATATTTAAGCGTGTAAAAATCGCCTCCACCCATACTATGGCTGCGTATCGTAGAGAACTGGAGTTATGGCGAGGCTTAAACGACAAAAGCCTTTGGCACCGGTTGTTTACAGTCAACCACCCTCTAACTTTCTCGCTCGCCATTGAACCTCTAAAACAATTGTACTCAACACTTCTAGAGAATTTAAAATAATAGTTAAGGGTTAAGATGTATTTTGACTTATTAATTTATTATTTTGGTACGTATTTCCATTAATCAATCAAAACTTAAAATTCATAATTATATTATTATCAAACTTATTACATTTACGTATTTGAATCGTGAACATTGGAGGAATTACATAATATAACTATAACATAATTAGTTGGTCAAAGAAATAAAATTGTTTATTTGTAGAATAACCAATAGATATTAAATGTAATAACCAACACTTAATGTTACCTATTAATGCTATAATCAAGACAATAAGCATTAAATTTATATAAAAATAGCTACTTATTACTCTGCAGTATATAAATACAATTGTTTTATGAGAAGTAACATAAATTATAGTATCCAACACATGTAAACTTATAACTCTTAGTATGGTATTTACTTATAAAATTCTTTTATAATGTTGAATACGGTATTTCTCTAGAGCAGAATTAGTGATACGCTCTGTTAGGTAACCATTTTAAAATCGGTTCACTGCTATCGGTTTTATCTGTTTATTCGTGATCAACGAAATTGGCAATAGAAAAAGAAACATAGTGTATGATAATAAGATATAATATCGCATAAAAGTATATTAAACAAAGAATTTGGAGCTTTGTTTTCCACCTTTAAGAATGAAACGTCAAAGACGTGATTTGCAACTTTAGTAGTAGAGAACAAATATTTTTTGTACGTGAATTTTTTACTTTTCATTTTGCGCCGATCATGTTTCAAAAGGCGTACTTTATTGACTTAGCCGGACCATCGAGTTGATGGATCAGATATAACTATGTTGGGTATATTTCGAAATTACAACACGAACGAAAGCGAGAGTCAGTTAATCTTCGTTGATTTCGCTAAGTTGGTAAGATATAAAAATAAAATAGCCTGCGCTTACACTTTGAATGAAGTGACAACACTCAATTTCCAATTTTCAAGGCTTTCCCTTTTTCGAATAATTAGGTCATAAGCTACAATGTAGTTGATAACACCATGGCTGACTAACAAACAAACACCTCCAGTGGAATCGAAAATTCAATTTACATACGGAACGCAGTAACTGTCATGGCAGATTGCCACAACATTAAAATGTTTAGGCACCATCGTTATCTATATCTATTTAATAGTTTTCCTTATTAAAATAATAAAAACTATACTATTTATACCCCACCTTCAGCCACTTAATAAACTGCCTAAATTAAACCTGAGCTAATCCCGCTTGAAGTGTTAGTATTTATTTATAAAATAAATCGGTTAGACTGGAAATAATATATATGCGTGAATAAGAATAATACACCAATTTTTGTACCAAACATTTATGATTGTTTTATAAGTTATAATATAAGATTAAAGCTGAATACTACTATATTGAAAAAAAATAGTACCTGTCGTCAATTTGCTCATGTATTTATATATCATCAGTATTTATAATATAAAACAAAGTAGAATCACAATGCAAAGGTAAAGTGACACTAATCGAAAAAATTGATATTAGAATCGACAAACAAATAATTTAAAGTGTATATTAATATATATGATGTTATAAATAACAATAAATTACTTAACTTAATTAATACCTGGTTTTGCCAGTTGCACTTATGGCACACAATATTGTTGAATGTAAGCGCCTTGCATGATCTAAATAATTACCTAATACTAGCAGCTCACTCGCCTCTAGAAATACAAATCTATCCCTCGGGAACCGTATATTTTTTCCAGGATAAAAAGCAGTCTATGTTTTATTATTCCTGACTATAACCTATCTCTGTGCCAAACTTCCGTTCAGCCGTTTTGGCGAGATAGAATAACAAACATCCATACATACTCACAAACTTTTACCTTTATAATATTATACAGATTTAATATTGCATCATCTAAATATGTATAAATGTTAATATTTTCCTTTAAATAGCAGGTGCAATGTGTAACAAAAGATATTTTTTTAATGACCCAATGTTTAAGCTATAAATTAGTCTTTATGTTTTAGGTTACAGATAATAACGTGTGTGGTATGATGATTCCTCAAAAAAATGAGTTGATATGAATGTAGCTTCTCTGATATGTAGAGATTGAAATTATTCAAAAAAAATTAAACTCTACTTTTATAATGAAGTGTTAATGGAGAAGTTTCATACTATTTTTAATATCATATTTAATGCAATGGAAGTAAAATATAGATCAAAACTAATAAATCTGTATTTTTTTTTGAAATCTATTAATAAATGACTGAGAAAAGTAATTATTTAAGTTTGCGGTCTCTCACTAGAGTGTGACGTCATTTTACCTAACCGAGATCGTCGCACTACAAAATATCACCCAACTACTCAATTGTTTCTAAGTCACACGTGAGCTCTCGCGCTGTTCCTAATTATTTTACGTACAACTGCTTGTTTTTTTTATTGGTAGTGTTATTTTTAATTTAAATTTCGGTATTACTTGGTGTGTGATGTCACGAATTTGTTCTCACTAGCGAAACTTTAAATTTTCGTAACTTTTCAATTTGTTGAAATATTTTAATAATTCTTTCATATTTTTGTCATATTTTACTTAAATGTTTATAATTAATACATAAAAAAATTGGAAACTTCTCCATTGCTAAGCCTATTCGGCTTTTTGTGATTATGTTCATATGTTACATAAATAAATCTTTTATTGAAGAAACAAATACAAATTTTAATTATACATGTACATGAGTTACAAATGTTTAATTTAGAATAACGAGCCTTTAATGTGCTCTACAGTGTACATGTGGCGAACAGTTTAGGCATAGATATGTTGCCATGTGGATACAACATACATCCACGGCAAGATTTCCATTTGGACTGTAAACATTTTAAAATAATTATTAATATAACAATAAAATACTAGGTACTTAATCTATATATTTATAATATCTATAGCCTTTCAGGCCAAGCAGATCAATTCATTTTATACATTCAAAGCTAATAAGGTAGAGTCATATAAATATTTAACTACTGTAGGTACACTTATATTATCAACGAGAGCAAGAGAATCGCTTTTCAAAGAAATTCAACATCGACCTGAAGCAAAAAGAAAAAATCCCTTATCTTATCAAAAGTGAGTAATATTAAATACACCTAAAACTAATATAGCAGTAAAGAAATAAAGAAAACAAATGATTTTACTTTAATTTATAGAGCATAATGAAGTGTTTATAGTATTGAAAAGTCTTAAATAATTATACGAGTATATGGGGTAGTTTGACTAGAATCACATTTTCACATGAATTATATACACATGATGCACATTTACACGTAATATGAGTGTTGTGTCGCTGGGCAAGAGTCTTGAAGTGGAGAATGGGCCCCGCAGCCGACAAGTACGCGGCAAGATGGCACCGGTGTCGCGGTATATTGCTGAAAATAAATTAATTATTTAGTTTACCTAATTATTTCACAATCAGCTAAAAATTAAGTTATCAAAATTTTACTTTAATTTATTTCATTTACATAGTTTGTTTTTTTACAAATACTTATTAGACTTTTTTTTTTTTTTTTTATACCACGTCGGTGGCAATCAGGCATGCGGCCCGCCTGATGGTAAGCGGTTACCGCAGCCTATGGACGCCTGCAACACCTTGGGCATCACATGCGCGTTGCCGACCCTTTAAAAACCTATTTACTCCCCTTTTGAAGGACCCCATACTGTAGCCCTCTGGGAAAACCTCGGCAGGGAGTTCATTCCACAGCGAGATGGTCCGTGGGAGAAAGTTCCTCTGAAACCGAACTGTACGGGACCATTTGGGCTGCAATGTGTGAGCATGAACTCCCTGTCGATGGCGAGCGGTGCGGTGATAGAAAGTGGCCGTGGGCATCATTTCGAACAATTCTTCGGAACACAACCCATTGTACAAACGATAGAGCACACATAGGGACGCAAAATCTCTTCTTAGACTTAGGGGCTCTATATCGCTTGTGAGTATTGGATCGTCGACAATTCTCACAGCTCTCCTCTGAACCGAGTCAAAAGGCCCAAGCTGGTATGCCGGTGCTCCCGCCCAGAGATGCGAGCAGTACTCCATATGGGGACGGACTTGCGATTTATATAAAAGCAGTCTTTGTCCCGGCGTGAAGTACCGCTTCGCTCTATTAAGCACACCTAGCTTTTTGGATGCCAGCTTGACCTTGACCTAGACTTCATTATGATTTATATTTACATTTTGGCATGCGGCCAATTGGTTGACCGTTATATTTGTTGTCCCGAGTACACGTTCCTCTCTGGCAAAGTCTGGTTCTCGATGAAAGGTGCCTGTGAATAATAAAGGGTAAAGAGCTTCAATATATAGAATCTATAAATACCTAACTCTTATTGTCAGTTTATTATCACTTATGTATTTTTAAATTATTATTTTCTTGTAATGTATTAAACTCTTTAAAAGGATTCCAATTAAGTCCAATTTGCACTATCCACCAGCTGGCTCAAATTTATGCTTTGAACGTTAGAAGTAGCTTCAATTATACTTCTAAGATTTGATTTTCTAATTACAAGGTATTCAAAAGTAGCTCAATATTACTCAGTTACTAGCAAAACAATTTAAATTCAGGATGAATGAACTTGCCATCAGACCGTGGTACTAAATCAGGATTAAGTTCCATATTGGCTCGCTTGGCTTGCACCATCTTGACGCAAACTGCGGCAACGGCTACGGCGGCCGCCACCGCCACCGCGCCCGCGCCTGCCTCTAGCCAGCGCGCCCACCATCGTGATGGAACCTCCTCGATAACAGCTATGAAAAAAATATGCTACGGTAATATAGGTTAATGCAGTGGCGTATTTACGCTACTGCGGCCATGGCCCAGAGCGGTGGACTGCGAGAAGCAACAAGAGCCAAGTGTGAAAAAGTGTGCCAACAGCAAAATGGGAAAAAGAGTAAATGCTTAAGACGAAGGTCATTTTCACCATTCACATTTTTTTTTATCTTATAAAGGGTCTTTTTTATTTTTGCTTCTTTTCAGTAGATACAAGGGGCGTACAACACAAGGGTGGTGAGTGGTGGTTTTAAATTACGCCACTGGGTTAGTCCGAATTTTGTAAAAAAAACGTGACGGTATTTGAACATTTTTATAACATAACTTTTCAAACCGCCTTTTGTATTACTAACGCAAAAAAGCGTATGGAAATAAATTGTGTTAAAAACTTTTACTAAGCTTTAGATATAATTTTTATTTTACTAAGGATCATGTTTTGTTTTCTTTAATTTGCATTTTAATTATTTAATAAATATTAAGATTTGATACCTATATTAATTAAGTTTTATTATTTACGTTCTTTCTTAACACTCTTTCATGTAATTATGGAGATAATTAAAATTAATCTTATCAATAATATTAAAATATTATATAAGTACCGGAAGCGCTAAGCGGAGTAATAGTTTGAAGGTAGACTGTCCTCATTTCACTTCGGCCTCTTGAATTGCTGGCGTAAACCCTAGTTGTCAAGTTTTTATCATCTTCAATATCCGGTAAATGGAAGTGGCCAGCTGCGTTTGATACATTTTGCAGTATTGTGCCGTCCGAGTTCAGAACCTCTAGATGTACCACTTGAGATCTTCCGCCATCCCAACCTAATTAACAGTCAAAAATATATTTAGCTACAATTATAAATATATTAAGCTACAGTAAGCGACTTTAAACGTCGATATTAGTTCCGTGTTTTGCTTTAGGGAATTACTCTAATTAGCTCACCGTAAATATATATTATAATTCCAGTTTTTGCATAGTGTCTGAAATCTCAATAAACAACTGGGAGTAACGGAAATGTATGTCCATATAATTATTTATTGGGTAAACAGGACAGGTGACAGTTCTTTAAGCATATTATATTAGCTACCATACCTAAATATGATTCCCACAAGTAGTGAAATATTGAAATAAATAGTTAAAAATTATTATATAACCATTTAATAAATGATTAACAACAACTATTACCTATAGTTTAATCAATTAAAAGCATTCAATAAGTATTTATATTTCCCTTCACAAATGATCCTAAGCCACATAACAATTAGGTTATATAATATATGTACAGTAAATATCACATACCTTTTTGGCATTGGACTCGAACAGCATTGGGATATGACCGCAACACAACACATTCAGGCGCGTGAGGAGGGCCCCCGGGAGCGATGGTGTACGAGCAGGGTCGTTTTTGCTCCCCAAAGGCATTGGTAGCGCGGCACAGAAGTACGCCCACATCGGAATCTCGAGGCAACCATGTTAATGTCGATGCAAACCGATTATGATGTCCTGGCACTTTCTAAAAAATGCATATTCAAAAATTTACTACTTATAAATATGCTACAAATTATGTAAATTAATTAATTCATTTAATTTTGTCTATGGTTAGTTGGTCACTATGTTAGTAGGTAATAATAAATAGATTCACCTTAGGACTAGTGTAAACAGTTCTGGAATCAGCAAAAGTCCAACTGAACTGCAGCGGATCGGGAGAAGCTTCCACCACGCATGTCACTGTTTCAGCTTCTTGCAAAACAGCGCCGATAGTTTCTTCGCGAGTTGTGAGACAAATCGGCCGATCTAAACAAAGATCCATAACGTAAGGCATTCATAACGTAACGCTATGTGCGTACTCGCAAATAAATGAGAGAAATAACTTACATCCAACGTTTAAGGTAACTTTATCTTCAAAAATTGACTTTGGTAGGTGGGAATTATGAGCACGACAAATTAAATTATGCTTGCTATCGCGCAGTGAAGGGGCTAGCGTCAGCGATGAAACTGTATAGTTGCCATCATGTAGCTCCTGTAGAAGTGCATATTTTTAAGAGCAGAAATTTCTTATAAAATAAATTGAAACTCGAAATGAAAATTCTAGAAGAATAATATTCAACTCAAGAGACCAATTAGTTTGTAGCTTCATTATTAATTTAACTAATCTACCTTGTGAACACTGGGCCTCAGCAAAACGTCTCCCAAATGCCAGGTTATGGCTGGAGGTGGAACGCAGCCTACAACCACACAGTCGACTACGCGAGGCTGTCCGGTTTCAAAGTCGAAATTGTTGTTCAAACGAATTTCCACACTTAATGGAGGAACTGCAAAGTAAGTCTAATAATGATAACTCTCAATAAAGTCAATTGTAGATGACTACGTTACATTTTAACGTTCAGTATAGATTTCTCAGAGATGAGATGTTTTCAGGCAGTAAAAAGTATCCTTATCTTGATCCAGATAAGCACACAGCTATCATCATACCAAGTTTTATCAAAATCTGTCCAGTGATTTTCTTGCGATGCGTTCCTAGACAGACAGACAAAAATTCTAAAAACTATAGATTCGACCTCTGTATCGATAATAATGACTGTTTCAATAAGGTTTTCATTAATCCTTAATGTACAGACATTCGATTTCTACAGTTTTATTATATGTATAGATAGAAGACACCGACAGCCGATAAACCTATTCAACATGATTGTTAACTATAAAGTGCAGAGTTAAACGGCCTTTGGTTTCCAGCATGAACGAATTATTCGTTCATGGTTTCCAGTAATGAATTAAGTAGTATTGTTGATCGAAGGAATTATTATTGACGGTGGACGGCAATCTCATAATAAAATTTGCAGTTTCTTTTCTATCAGAGTCAAAAATGCGCATCAAGTGTAAAACCAAAATTTTACTAGTTAATATTATGTTAGGCGTGAATTAGCGTGCTATTATTCATAATCGGTGTAATTTTAATATTTTAAAGTAATGAAAATTTGACTTCAAATATAAATATCATGTATTAACTTACGGTACATTTTGACCACAAGACTAGCGCTAAGAGGTTCTGTGACGTCAGCGTTTTGTGCGAGGCATTCGTAGTGCGCATCTAGTTCGTCGCGTGTCGCGTTGCGCACGCGCACCTCCGCACGCAGTACGCCGGCACGAACCGAGTGCGCGCGCTCTATAGTCACACCGTTACGACGCCAGTATACTAAGGTATCCGGTTGGTCTGAGGAAAATGTGACAACATAAGTTGTTTGTAAATTATTACGTGACTGGCAAGTTTTATTTTAAAGACTTGTAATTTGATATGAAGCAGAAATAAGCAATTCTAAATAACTTGTCATTCAGTCAAACAACAACGAGTCAAAGCTTAATTACAACAAGTGATATTTATTTTAAATAATTAATAAACTCAAAAAAACATTATTTTAATAAAACTGTATAGTGATATAATATAATCCAATAATAAACTTAAGATTTACTATGGGTATTTAGGCCAATTAACAGAAGTCCTAAAAAAATGGTATAAGTTGAGAGGTTAATAAAAATATAAAATTTTAAATTGGACAAAGTTATTTACCATCAGCAACCTCACAAATAAGCGTAAGATCGGAACCGAGACTGAGAGGGCCTACGTAACCTCTTTTGATTTCTTCACCCGCATCATTAAATATCCTAGGGATTCCTGGGGAATCTGTAATTTTTTCACATATTTTATAATTAAAATTCTCGACGACTACTGTGACGCAAGTTAGTATGTATTCATTTCCCGTAAAAAAAATATTGGCTTATAATATAAGCTTTCGTCTGATTAGCACAAAGATTTCTTGAAGGAAGCCTCTTGAATTTAGACACCATGCTGATACAGCTGAGGAGTCATACGGTCGTGCGCATAAAATGCATGAACTAAAATAATTTTAAATTTGTTGATTGTAAATACAGATTATTACACTCATTTAAAATCCCTAATATTAAAATCCTTTATTTTATTATTCATTGTGAAGATAACTTACCCACCAACCTCACGTCAATTACGTAGTCCAAAGACGGTGAAGCTTGATAGTGGACCCTGCATCGGTAAATACCACTGTCTTGCTCACTCACTCGTTTCAGAAGAAGAGAGGTATCGTCGTAACATGCCCCTGCGTCACATGACGTGCCGAATATACGGTCCCTATTCATGGCTCTATAGAGAAAATCGATATTTGTTAACATTGGAATAACTCAAACTAATGATGATGAATATCCTAGTGCTATATTTTTAAAGTAAACGCAGCGCACATTTAATGCACATGTACAATATATGTACATAAAAGTAAAATATCACTTACTGATAAATCACGAAATTTCAGAAAGTAGAAATGCTGTTTTATAATTTGGCAGAAAGATTCATCATATGGAATTGGTATCCTTTCTGATTGTTTTTAATCTATTAAAATCTATGGAAATTCAACCCCTCAATGGGTAAAAATGAGATTAGTTTGTATAAAAAGTCGTTGTTTTTAAAGTACGTGAGATTATCCGCTATTCAATGGTAGTGTTAAATAAATGATGACATTTTTGCCATGCAAAAAAATTTATGTTAATCCCCTATTAGAGTAATGGATAATAGAAGGCAAGATGGAATAGAATGTGTTACAAGCGAGTATTAGTAGTGTGAAGATATAGAGGCTTAATATAATTAGCTTATCCAGCTAGCACTAGTCTTTAATTTCTCAAAAAAGGATAAATATGTTACCATGTATGTTAATATTATTACCTTCTTTCAGTTTCCTCATTAGGGAAACGGTATAAAAAATCCCTATCGTTCTTTAACCACAGCACATAAGAATCTGGCCCGTCTAAAAACACCTTTCCTTGACCGCAGGGCAAGTGTGCATCGCGTCCTCGTACAGCGCGTAGGACGACTACCTCTTTATATTAAAATAATAATGAAATATTAACTAAACCATTAAATTTATTAATAAACATTTAAAACAATATATTAAATAATAAAATTTGTAAGTATATGTAATATATGCTAGAAGTATTCTTTATCAATTTAAAAGCTTTATAAAAGTAGCTTAAATACTTGCCTGAATCTAAGCTGATGACATTTTCAGCAAAGCATATGCAGATTAGCAGGCCGTAAGATATCATAACTAGGCCTGCAAAGAACCAAAAATTGTTAAGAATACCCAATATTTCCAAAACATAAATCTAATAGTAATATTGTTTCGTATATTTTCTTAATATGTGGATCAAAAAGTTTTAAATTAAGTCATTCAAGCAAGAAATAAATTAGTTCAATTGAAGGTAGCCGTATTTACTATCTAATGCCAGTTTAACTTGGTCTTTGAGTCGCTAAGCTTTCCTTCTGTTTTAATCTAATTAGTTAATACACTAAGGGGGCAGGCAGGTCAAATTATGATAGAGGTAAAGAAGTGCATTCATACACGCAACCTCCCTCATTTCGGGGTGACTCACGTATTGTATTGTGTCGTAAAACGGGGTATCCATTAATAGTAAAAACTATTTTAACACTTTCTATGACGAATTCTAGTGGAAGCACATCATTCTCATACAGTCTAAGTAGAATTAACATATTATAAAGACTAAAAGCATTTCCAAAATAAATGTTAATTGCAATAGTTGTGTATAAGTAATTCGCAAAGTTCTAAGAGCTTTATATACGTATTACGTATGTAGTAAAATTACGCTAATATGATTTAGTTAAAGGTAGATTGTTCAAATCAATCTAAAAAAATGTTGGCACTATAGTGGCATTATATACTTACAAAATACGGAAATATGTATATCAGATATCCTATCCAATGAAATATAACATGATAATATATATAAATAAATGTAGGATAATATATTAATGCCCACTTGTGATATAGTATTTTTTTTTATTTAATGCTTGTAATTGATTAATGCATATAATAAAATTCTAACTGAGTCGAATCTGTACAGTAAATATTTTTTGGAAAATTTTATTGAAATAGTCATTATTATCGGTACATAGGCCGAATCTATAGTTATTAGAAATTTTCTTTGTCTGTCTGTCTGGGAACGTATTACGAGAAAACTACTGCACAGATTTTAATGAAATTTGGTATGATGATAGCTGGTTATCCAGGTGAATATTTAGGATATTTATTACTGCGGAAAAATATCTCATCTCTGAGAAATCTATACTAACTTTCAAAACGCAGGGAGTAACCCGAGCGGAGCGAGGGTTAGTCGCTAGTTATAATAATATTTTAAAATGCACTTCCAAATACTTAAATCGAAACAATTAAATATGAAATTAAAAAAATCGCAACGCGTTAATTATTGCATTATACCCACATCAAATATAAATAAAGAGCTAAAAGTTTAGGAAATTTCAAGTTTAAATAACTTTATGTTTATATTATACAATTATTTTTAAACTTATAATATGTAGCAACTTACCTTTAATCATTGTATGTAATTCCCTAGTATAGTATATGTATTTATTATCACTTATAGGCGCGTGTGTCGCGGTCTAAAACTTTATTCCAAATAAACTTTCCACCTCCGCTATTAACGCCAGGTACACGCTGGTTTTAACGTTGAGCAAAGTATGGAATAGGATTATGAAAAAATACCAATTCGATATAAAAATAGGATAATAATTTAATTAACTAGTGATAAGCATAACACATACCTACACATGAGAGTATACTTTTGTAACACATACAGTTGTATCCCACGAGATGTGTCAGCTCAGAATGAAATATAACCTACGAGGCTCTCAACTTCATAAAATTATTGAAAAATATTTTTACAAAAAACATGTCAATTCGCTGTTGCATCTTTGCTTTGTTGGAAAAGACCAAATCAAGTTAGTAAATACAAGATACATAAAACACAGATTACCTATCTATATCACACGTTAAACTTATAACACCCCTCTTTTTGCGTTTGGGTTTAAAAATAATAAGTATAATAAGGTATCCGTAGTATCCGTAGTAGTTATGCGCAAGCGATCCTGCGGCGTCCCATTAAGGCGGAGGGGAGGGGAATGTCGGGTTTTAGTGGGTAGTACCGGCTCTTCTAGCCGGTGAGCCCCACATCACCACCTGGGGGATCAGGTGGTATGCGTAAATGCATTTCCCGACATAAAAAAAAGAAGTATAATAAGGTGTGAGCAGCTATTTAATTTTTTATTTAATTTTATATTTAATTTTATATTTTATTTAATTTTATATTTATTTTATATTTAATTTTATTTTGTAATAAATACTAAATAAAATTTATTTTATTTTTTTATTATATCCATACTAATTTATCTACGTACAAATGTTGTCCCGTCGATAACTTATTAGAAGAATGTCCAGTTTTAATTTTAATTTCGTCATAATAATTATAAATATAAAGTTCATTTTCTGCTGACAAAACAATCTCTTTAGGCCTTTTAAAGTATTTGAATATGTTGGATATGCTCAACCAGATGAGAAGACCTGTGTTTCAGAGGTGGAAATATTGGTAAATGGGTCTTTCTTAAATGGATATAAGTACAAGGGTGTTTTCTTGTTCCCCTAGGTCGCATATAGTCAGTTCGTTAAAACCCTTTCATGAAGTGTGCATTCGTGCAATTACAATTAGGAGGCCTTGTCAGACGGTGTTTTATGTTTTTCTCAGACCCAGAGGTTTTTTGAACCCATCTAGATAAGAAAACCATAATTAATTATCTTAGTTTGACCAAAAATTATCTTAGTTTTACAATTTTAAGGATTATTTTCAAACGGTCTGAAACGAATGGCGAAAATTGGAAAAAGAACTATCTATATTTTGCTTTTTCTGAATTGTTCAATCAAATATATTTTCAAAACAAGATCGATACAAAAATCTGCGCATACCTATAGGTACACTGCCCTTTAATATATTTTAACCCAACATCCAATTCGCAAACAACAACCGAAATTCGCTTGCTTACTTTAACATTGAACCGAATATTTCTTATAAAACCTTTTTAATTCATGTAATTTTGACGTAAAAAACCTTATTTCTTAATCAGGTACTTCAAACTGCATTAACCTAAAAACGCGTAAGTACACGACTCGCTTGCTGGTTTCATTTATCAAACAAATTAAAGGGCCATATTGTTGTTAGTTCAAGTCTAGAGGAACACATGTACATTACGGAACCCTCTCATAGCAAGAAACATAATAAACTCGAGTGATCGCTTTGACGTTGGAAATCAGAAAACGTGCCTACGTAAAGCCCCCGTTGACGGGTGGATTTAATATCGCGATTAAGTTGTTTTGTTTACAAATATGCCAAGCTTATTGTTCGTTTAAAGCGAAATATTTTCTTTTTTTTTCTTTTCATTTCCTTACATATTCCTTCATGAAATAAAACACGTTACCATAATAAAGTAAATATTAACTATAATCTCAGTTACTTTTGTATAAAGCTATAGAGCATATTATTCTTGTTTAAGTTAGTATAGGTACATATTAGGTATTTGATTATTTTAATATATGTTGTAGAGCAAAAATAACCTTTCCTATTATAATACTGAAGATTTATAATTTTCAATCGTAAATATTATTAAAGTATATTGTAAAGCTAAATGTAAATAATTTATTTGTGTTTGATATCTTTGAAATATGAAAAGATTAAAATAAAAATCGCGGTTCGACCGCGCACAGATAATTGTTAAATTAGATTGATTTTGAGACATTAGACCTACCAAGTATCTACGTTCGTGGAATTAAAAAAAATAGCTATTATAAATTAGAATCGATGCAACTATTATAAAACTAGTTAAAATCATCGTATACCTATTACCTACACGTAAATATAAAATATCTTATCAATTCGACAAGTAAGCCCCCGTTTAATTATTTGTCACTTTTGAGTTTATCTTTGAAGTCGGTTTAATTTTTTTTATCCTAATCTTGAATGTCTATTCCACTGAAGCACTTGAATGAAATATTATGAGTTACTTTGTATAATGTGTAAGTTATACATAATTTTATGTACCTACATTTTAAAGATTGCTGTTGTTTTTAATGAAAAATACGTTGTGCCTTCATTAACAAATTAATGGAATTATTATGATCGTCGAGTAAAATGTTCGAAGAACTATTTGCCCGTAAGGGGTGCAACGTTTTGTTAAGGGGTGTCGAGTGACTCATTCGTGAATCACTCGGCTAGAACGCTTTGATTCTGCTTAACATATTTTACTATTAGCATAAAATGTTTTTCTATGAATGTATTCATATTATTTATCATAGAATTTCTTGGAGGAACAATGAAGACATGTATGAGGATTTTTCATACAATATATAGAGATACCTTTCATAGATTATTGTTTCTAAGGGATAAAAGAAGGAGGTATATAAGGAAGTAGATGTAAATAAAAAACTTTAAATACCACAAAACATTTTATTTCATAAAAGAAAAGGATTTAAAACAAAACTCTTCAAGCAACAAATAATAATATATTATCGCGTAGGAAAATGCATCTAATAGGCTCTAGCCCATATTTTTAAAATAACTAGTAACTTTATCCCCAAATAGGGATAAATCACAAAATCACACAAAATACATTCCAACGATTAAAGCAATATATATTTGATTTTACATGAAAATTCAAGTTACTCGTACTGACTTCTAAAAAATCAGATCACATCAACTTAATATATTTATGTTAATAATTCCTTTACATATACATACATACATCATTGTAATTTAATAGTTCTACTAGCGCTTTCAACGCCTATCCATAGGTCAGGTATGTTTTATCAAAAGAAAAAAATCTATGCATTCTTAAACAAATGCAAACATTGACGTTTAATCGGAGACACCGCGCCTCCAATAAAATTCTATAAAAATAAAACTGAAAGACGCAACCCGGCGCCGGATTAGTAGAAGCGATCAGTACGATCGCTTCATGCAAGAGAATTTACCACATATTAGTATTAATTTAACATTGCGGAACAACTTACCAAGTCAAATAGCGCCAATCACTTAATGAAAATGAAGGAGGACTGTTATATTGAGTACTGAGTAGTATTCAGTGCCATACTATAAATACAAAAATTCTTGGCGAAATTATTGCCACCTTAATGAAATAATTATACAATAAAATGTACTTTTAAATCGTATAAAAATAATTTTCAAAATGGGTGCGAGGTGTTTTCCTACTTTTATTTGTTATCGTCTTAATTTTTTTAAATTTATAAGGGATTAAGGTGATTTAAATGTGCAATAGTTAAAAAATGGTGACGTATAATAAAAAATATACAACGATAATAAAAGGTTCCTAAATTAAATTATTCGTTCCATATTAAGAAACAATATTATTTGTATTAAAAGAAAAATATGGAATCGTGTTAGAGAATATTATTTTAAGTGAGCATTGCTAAAATTTACTATGCTAAAAATAAATATAACTAATCACAAAATTAAGTTAATATTAATATGATTTAATCTATGGACATCTATTATGGTGTCCATTTGGTTAAGAACATTTCCTTTCCACCAAAGAATAACGTAAAATATTATACGCGATCCGGTTTATTGGATACCTGCGCGTGTCATTAGGGTCTTTAAACAGACCTTGTTATAAATATAAAAGTAACTTTTCCTAGGAAAAAAAAATCACCAAAACAAATTTGGTATTAACTATACAATAATTATTGCTTGCAGGAAGCGAAGTTTTAAACACAATTGCTCAAAATATTTCAATTATCTTTTTCAATATTCAGACGAACATCGCATACTTTTAAATTATATATCGGAATCTCTAATATTAAATATATTAGTTTTTTTTTATTTGTGTGCTGTAAATAAAATAAATGTACAAAATCATCGTAGTCTGAATATAGGGGCGACATAAACAGATCTAAGAAATTTTGCCCAAGTGAGTTTAGTCTTTCGTAGAACTGGGAGCAAAATATTTCTAGAAATATTTTAATGCAGCACATTTTTAATATAACAATAACGATTTAATTTTATTTAATTTGGATAAAACGATAACATATTATATGAATTAAAACAGGATTTATTTCCGAAATAAAAATACCAAATATATCATCAGATTGCGATAGACAATGAAAGATGTATCGTGATAACATAATAACATGTACATTTATTATTTTTATTTCAGTAATTATTATGCAGGTTTCAGTTAACGGTTATTGCACGTAAAATAACATTGCACAGATATAATCAACAAAATACAGGGTCCCAGTGATGAATAAATACACTGTTACAAACACTATACAAAGATGCGTTGAGATCATAAACAAAGATGTAGATTTAAAAAAATACAACTATGCTTGTAGAAAAAATATTAATTATAAAGGTTTATTGATTAAATTAATTGATATAACATATTCTACCAAATAAAACAAAAGTTATTTGTATATTTACAAACGGCGCAGAGTTGAATCTCTCAGCTGTATCTATGTTACAGCCTTACATAATTTATACATTTTCCTCTATACATAGAGAATACATAGATGTATCACCAGCCTTAGATATCGCTCACCATATACCAAAAATATAAACATCCTAGCATTATTAAGATTACGATCAAAGCCTTGATCAATCTAGAATTGCTTACATAAACTAAGTTAACAGTATTTAGAACGTTCCTAAATATCTCTTAATTTACCCCGTCATAAATAATGGTGTACTGGTAAAAGTACCATATATTTTTTAAGAATTAATTTTTTATACAACAAAGCAATATTTATTTCAATTAAGTTCGAAAATATAATGATTACTGATACAATATGTTCTCTTTATACGTAAGCTTTACGTGAGCAGCTCACGAATAAAACTACGCAAGTTTCGTCGTACTAGAATTAAAATTAAATAGATAAAAAAACGAAACACACTTATGTATTTTTCTTCACATAATTCCACTGGAAGTAATAATTTATTTCATTAAATTATCATTTATGTATGCATCTTAATGTTATTATATGAACAATGAAGTATGTACACTATTATAGTAGACATCTTCTAGATATCTGATATCATTTTAATCGCACACGGAATATGTGAGGCGAATACAACGCTACTAGCGCACAAACCAATGTCGATTAACAGTATTAAATAAATCTATATATAATATATAATCTACAACTTTAAATTACATCGACATCGAAAATATAAAACAATGCTATAATTTTTTTCGAATACGTAATTTTCTATAAAGGCATGCAAATTTATAACATAATATAATAATCAAGTTATCCTGGAAGTGTTTCATAATGCAGAACGTACTAAGAAAACGCCGTGAAGCCTAAGTCTATGGTGCACTACAATGCAACTTTCGCCTAATACCAGCAACACAGCAAATGACTTACGTATAGAAATCCAACTGCTATATCTAATACCATCTTAGAAAGTTTCGCTACGAATACAATACATAAAATATATCTCTCAAATTACTATCACATTAATAGAGCTAAACATTAATTAGGTGAATGCATGAATCAAACGTGTTCTTACGCGACTCGTATCGTAGACTCCGTTTTGTAACTTTTATAATAAGCATTATTAAACGGCGCTCACTTACTTACTCACTAGCCGTACATTAGTCAAATATTACATTTTTAGTTGTTATTGTTCTTACATTTACCATATCCGAATTGTTTGTCACTTTAATAATTTGCCTTAATTAATTATGTTAAAAACAAATCAGCAATGGTTTAACTTTTAATAAAAATTAAATACTAAACGTTTATAATAATAAATTACTTATACTCATTTTCGTCCCGCTTTCATCATAGTTTAAGAAAAGTGTTGTTTAGCAATGTGTAAGTATTATAGATATAATTACTAGGAGGATTTGAAAATTAATATTAACATAATACATAAAGTGTTTTACGAAACAATACCAAATAACTTATGAACAAAAGAAAAAATGTTGTAAATTAAAAAAAAAAAGTTTTTTTTTAGTGCGAACGCTATATTTCTTTGATAAAAGTTTTTATTGATTTATAAGTCTTGTACAGTTTTTTTAATTCTGAAATAAAGAATTAATGGAATTTGTGAAAAATAACACTAGAGAGAGAGAGAGTATGATCTGTAAAAGTTATGTATTAAAAGTGTTTATCTTAGGCCGATTTCTATTTATGCTAAACTACTCTAAGGGCAGTTATACACACGAGGTCTCTATACATTACCCACAGTCTGTCGATTTATTTAAAGTTTCTACTCATATATTGTACGCTAGTGTTTTCATGTACAAAATTTCATTAAATGTCTTCATTGTATGTAATTAAAAGTCAAAATTTAAAACCAACGTATCTTATAAATATATGCATGGAGGGAGCTACTTCCTCGGCCAAGTAATGCAATATTTTATTTTGCAACGTCCTGAAAGGAGAACGTTAAATAAACGGTATTGACGATTTGGAAAAATTAAAATGTACACACGATATAATTCGAGTAAAAAAGGGGTTAACTGAATACGTTTCGTATATCAATTATATGTGGAACAATTTAGTTTACTCAAAATGAGTTTAAACGACTCATTTTAAAGAACAGTCATTTATTGGACGGTAAGACTAACTGAACGCATCGTTTGCTGTATAATATTCCAAGTGTCATTGTTGTAACATCGTTTCAAAAGTTGAAAAATTGTTGTAAGAACAAATCCTACCTTGATCTCATTTAAATAAACATTTTTAAACGCAATTAATCTATGTACTAGGAGGAACTAATTTTTTTTTTAATTTCTCATTTTCTTTCTACATCTACTGTTTAATAAAAATCGCCTCTAAGTTTATCGAGCGAGTCATAACCGCGAAATGAATTAAAAAAATAACTAATAATAATTTTAGTACCATTTGTTTTTAGCGTTCAATCATTAAATCGAATTATTTAAACCGTAATACAACTACGAAGCGCGCGTAAAAGATTAGATCACATTTTTGAGATACTACTTAATATGTTGAATCGTTAAATTGATACCTATTTTACATGTCCTGGGTCGTATCACACAAATTAAGGCCTCTTTAATCAGGCTAACGATTTGATGTCACTTATATGTATATAAGCAATGTCTTTTATGAAAATACTCTAATAAATCGTTCAGATTAACGTCGTACCCTCCGTAGAAAAACAGTGGAAATGTTAGAGAAACGTTGTAAAATCAAATCATTGTAAAATGTAATGTAATAAGGTGATCCTGGACCGCCTACAAGTGAAGTATTTGTTCCACGTAGGGTAGGAATTGTGAAAACTATTTTCACAGAAAATTGAACGAATATTAACTGTCGCCATTGCAATTTCGAATTGCTTTCGATAAATGGCTGAAATTTTCTATATATATACATATATAATAGATTTAAGGCAAAACGAGGTTAGTGCTTCCATAGACCTACTAATGGGTATCATAATTATTATCACAATACAATATTCAGTATAGTTCCTAGTTGGCTAATACGGGTCACATGATCTTAGTAATATATATCTAGTGTTGTTTCAGATTGACATTTTTGAGCTATATTTATAAAGTCATTTTGGTACTTTCTATTTGATAGTAAAAGTCTATTGAATATATCGATTAATTTATTGAGTCAATTAAAAAGTTTTAAACTTTAAAATTAATTATTATTTCTTGGCATGAAGTCGATCGTACTATTATTAACGTTTAAGCAAAAATATCTAAATGTTAATTAACTTTCGTCGAGTCGGTAAAATTACTACAAGTATATGAAAAATAATATTTCTCTAAGGAAGTCGTCGGATATATAAAATTATAAAGCTTTCCGACAGCTATTAGTCATTGTGTTAGCCTTAATAGTGGAAGATAGGTTAATTAATATTTTGGCATATGAATTAGTCACGAGTCATACAAACTACAGTCGTCAATTAGTTTTTCTTTGGAATCGGACGTAGTAATCATTAAAATTAAATAGACATATCCATTATTCTATTTGTTATGATTATTGCGTCGTGTCAAGAAAATACAACAATATAAACGGAAACATTTGCTGGTTCAATTTCGCAAAATCACTTACACTATTGGATATCTCAATATTTTTGACTTTAGGTTAAATAAAAAAAAATCTTTTCCAAATCCAAAAATTAATTAATCGCAATATATTGATTTTTAAAGTTGAGCATCCCTGTACAGATAATATAAACAAAGTATTCATATTTTCCTATAATTTATATCTGGCTAATATTAAAAAAAAACTAAACTGACGTTATTTGACGATCCCTTCACTTGTCACCTGTAGCTACGTATGAGGTGTCAGTATATGTATTTTGTACTTAATTTGATATAATATACTAAAGCAGACGCGCTAGTTTAGATTATATTACGACTTTGTCCACTTTCTACTACTAAAATAATTAATTCATAATGCTTCGGCCGAATATACTCGTATATCTAAATACCATTCCCTATGAAAATGGAACGATAAAAAATTATAGGTAAAATAAATTAACACGTATTGAAATACCACGCTATTTGAAGACGATAATAAGAAAATTACATTGACTAAAGCACTATTTTTTTAATAATATTTAATCGTAATGATAATATGGAAGTAATTCATATGAGAAAATAAAATGGAAGATATATTCGCATTCGCATGGTCACAATTTAATAATCGTTTTTGCTCTAAAAAATTTCTGTGAATAATTATTAACCGTAAAATTAATAACCACTTTAAAATCAACATAAATGTAATAAAAAGTTTTAAATTCTTTAAAACCGAAAGTAATTTCGAGAACAATTGTAAATATAGCGTTATTTTATGTAAAATGCTTTAATCTGCATACTTGTATGCAAAAATATATTTCTTCGCCGTATATATTATTTATATTTGGTATCAAGTAGTACTTGTTGGTTTGACATTCAATCAGTACTCTTGAATTCGGTATCGATGCGTCTCTCTAACGCCTGAAGCTCTTCCTCTAATTCCTGCTAAATAATGTAACAAAAAATACATATAAATACGTTATTTTTTACTATAATTTAAAAAGAAAATATCATAGTTTATTTATTATATTAAGTATTTAGTACAACAAAAAGTCCATTTATAATTATTTTCATTAACAATTCAAGAAATAAAAATATAAAAGTAGTTATTTATAATTATTTACATACTATAAAACAATACATATGAATAATAAATATATAACACTATCGACTCACCCTCGCTTCGCTCGGGTTCGTCCATAGGTAAGTTTTAATTTTTTTGAACGAAACCCTAATTCTTTTTCTAAAATAAAAGTAGCCTATGTTACTCCCTATAACATCAGCTATCTTCCAGTGAAATTCCCGTCAAAATCAGTTCAACCGTTTTAGAGATTATCCGGAACAAACAGACAGACAGACAAAAATAAAAAAAGTGTTTTTCCTATAAGTACTGTATATATTATATATAATTTCATATGCATATAGTTAAACGCTGTTGTTTGGACATTACAAACAGACAATTTTATTTATTTGTGCAAAAAATGTCCTCCCGACCTTTCGGCCAAGACGGCATTGAGACTAGCCAACTGTGCAGGACATATTATAGTGGAGACACGACGTGCACTCTCTATTTCAGACACTCTCAAAGTACGTTGGAGAGACACTTCGACACAACCGGTGAGAGTTAAAGCAGAGGAGCGACGGCTTTATGTGCTTTCCGACCTACAAGTGTGCCACACCGCCAACTTCCCAACTCTGGGCTACTACTGAGTATATCTTCATAGAAAAACTCAGTAATTAAACTTGGCGCGACCCAGGACTCGAACCCAGGACCTCAGGATCTGCAGTCTTATATACTAGCCACTAAACCACCGAAGCAGTTAAACATATAAAAAGTATAGATATATAAAAAATGTATGTAACACTTACATCATCTGCCCTATTCGCGAGGTCAGAAGCAGCAAGTCTCTCCACGGCGAGCCGGTCCGCGCCGACTGCACGCCTGTCGCCAGGCACTGCGAATATCTGTACGGATAAACAAAATCACTATTAAAATCAGGGCTGCCAGATTACATTCGTTAATTTACCCGACCAATAAACCTAAAAATAGCCGATTTATCCCTCTGGCGCCAACCATGAGCAGAATACCCAAAAATAGTTTTTTTTTAAGTAATTTATTCATATTTTATAGTATAGAATAAAAGAAAGTAGGTACTAATGTTAGAAAAAGAAGTCTGTTTAATCAGTTTTCGATTAAACAGCATTAAATTATGCAATCAAACAAAAAACTTAAAATATCAAATTAATCAGCTAAACTAAAATAACTTCTTTGACCCCGCTCTATGCGAATACCCGTCAAAATTACCCGTTTTCAGGTAATTTACCCGCCAATTGGCAGCGTTGATTAAAATTAAGCCTTCGGTATTTTATTTATCAAAGCATATCAGTCTTAATTATCACAGTGTAAAAATCCATATAATAGGCGAGCCTATTTATTTTAAATAGATGCGCTGTCAAATGCAAGGATTGTCAAAAAATACCAATTTGAACGAGTTTTAAACTTGTTGATTTTTTCCCCTTAAGTAGTAATATAGTTGTGGATTTCATCTGATAAGCAATTTTACCAACCAATTTTACATTTTTATAATTCAATCCAAGTGATTTAGTTTAAGAGGTTAAAGATTTCATTTACGGCATTTGCATTTAAAGTAATTTAAATGAATGTTTGCAATAAAAATATACAGCAAAATTGTGTAAGGTCTTAATAACCTGACCCACAAATTTAATATGGTAATATTTTGAATAAAAAAAAGTGAAAACAATGACTTTCGACTACTTTTCTAATTATACTTATACATCTTATATATATTAATCTTATAAATATCTATACTATAATAAAGCAGTAATTTAGCGAAATCTGTACATTAAATATTTTTTAAAACAATGATTTGTAACGTATTATTTACACAATATAGAGCCCAAAACAATTGTTATTAAAAAAATGACTGTTTGTCTGTTTGTGTGTGCGTGTGTCATGCAAAAAGTAATGAACCGATTTCAACGAAATTTGGTGAAGTGATAACTTATTACTCGGTCGACATTAAGGATATCTTTTACTGCAGGAAATCTTTCATTTCCACGGGAAAACACAATAACTGGTTCTATCTAAACCTAAACCTTAAGACATACATCAAAACAATGTGCTAAAAAATTGTAGATCTCGAAAAGGCCAACAGAAAAATCTGCAATAGTATATGTCTATCTCTTAGCGTACACTCGCTATACCTGTTCTTATCTATGTCTATAATAACACTAACTTAGTCAAATTGATGTGCACGTTTCACGCAAAAAGTATTGAACCGATTTTAACTAAATCTGTAGTGATAACTTAATACTCGGGTCAACAATTATGATACCTTTTACTACAGGCAAATTATATTTGAAAAGTTTTAGGGTATAACAAATAAGTTCATTACTGATATGTATATTTCTTTGGATATGTTTGAACGAGAAAACCTTACATCTTCAGTTGTAGACGAGCCGTGTTGCAACGTGTTTCTCATCGCGTCGAAGTTAAATACCTAAAACAAAACATGCACAGATACATAATATATCGATATAAAGTTACACGTTACACTACTGATACTTAATTTTATACTTAAATCTTATAAGAGATACGGAAAATGATAATATTAAATGAGCAATCAAATTTTCTAATTAGATAGGGATTTGCTTTTTAAGTTTATCTATATCACCTATATATATATTCTGAAAAAAAAAAACATTATATCCTCTCCGAAAAACGCCAAGCGAAGCGAAGCGAAATCAAACAATATTGTTAGGTTACTTTTTGAGAGGTTATATTGAGAGGTTTTTAAATGTATTCAAATGTATTATATATTGTCATAAAAGAAAGAAATATAAAACCTGTTTACAAAATATCGCTTCTTATAACTCTGTTTTATATTATAGCCGGACAGTACTATATTCATCGTAGCATGGAGGTACTCAACAGAGTGCAAGGTCTCCCCCCTTATGTTAATCTGCCACGCTTGTATCAATCCCAAAATCCCCTCTGGGGCTCCCCTACTATAAGCTATCTCTATTACGAATTTAATTCACCTCCGTCGAGCGTGACGAAGTAACAAAAGCATTCACGTTTTTTTTAACTTATAGTACTTATAAATATAAATCTTATAAATGATTATTTATCGTAATTTATAGACTTACGTTATTGGTAGGAGGCCAAGAGGGTTCGATGCGACGCTCTCGAGGCACGGGGGCGAAGCCCGGCGCTTTCACGCGGTAGTCAGGTAATAGTTCTGATGTTATTGCTAAAATAAGATATAATCTATATATTAATTCGTGAAGCAAAAACTTCGTACCCCTTTTTACAAAAACTGTGCGGCCGGAGGAGTATGAAATTTCCCGCACTTATAGTTTAAATAGAGAAGGAGTGCAGAATGCTAATATTTTTTTGAAATTATGCATAAAAAATACACTAATCAATAAAATAAACCATTACACACACTACCATGTATTTGACACACACACGTATTTTATATAGTTTTCAATGGAGCGATAGAAAAAAAATCAACTAGAACTATATAACTTCAAAGTTATTTACAAGCGAAGATAAATACGCTCGAATTAAAAATAACACTACGAGTACTTACGATCATCAAAAGTATAGGGACTTATATTTCTTGAGGCTTCATGTTGAATCGGCACAAACATATTTGGCAGAGGTGGGGCTAGATTGTCTTGATTTTGGTAGTTCGCTATGGGGCCAGTATTATTTGGCCCCTGGTATACGGGGTTCACGAACTCTGGCCTTGGGAACTGCATGTTGCTAGATGGTTCATCGTGAATGGTCACCATTCCAAAGCGACCATAGTATGGACGCTCCGGTATCGGTATCATGATACCGTTTTGATTAATTCCCAATGGCGTTTGGTTATGCATGAGAGTCGAGGCGTAATTCCTAAAAAGAATTTTCTTTTACTAATTTATTTATTAAGTCAAGTATATAAAGGGGGCCTTATATCATTGTAATATATAAAAGACTTATGCAATACCGAAGTCACATGGAAATAATTAATAAGAGCAATACAAATACAACAAACACCTAAAATATTTTGAACGATCAAGAAGTTACTTTTCAATTTTCTTCCATCTTTACTTTATTTATAAAATATTTAATAATAAATACTTACGAAGGTTGAATACAGTCGGATCGTGGATTCTCATTTCCAAACTCTGTGTTAGAAGCAGCAAGCATTTCTTGAGGTATCGTTTGTGTGGCGATCGGTTGGATGGCTAAACATAAAATTATATTTACTATTGTTTATATTTGTTCTGTATTTAATTTAAATAAATAAGCTTATATTTGTATAATTTGGATTTATATACACTGATATTATAGAGAAGTATAGTTTGTGAGTTGTATGTAGGGGGTGCCTAATAAAACGAGTAATATGATTCTGAAACTTCTTTCACTAATATGAAGCTACGTTATCGCCTAATATTTTCGGCTATTTTTTATTCCGATAAAATTCTGTTTGCTGTTAGAAATCATAATAACTTTAATTAAAGTCGAAATAAAACTGGCCGTTGAGTTGCTTTATAGGCGAGCTCGAGCCTAAACGGTTTGACATAAAGCAATAAAATGTATGCTTTATAAATTTCTTTCAGTTTCACTAGGCGGTAAAGTAGCTACCCATTAGTACAATAATTTTCAGAATCAGATTAGTAGTGTCAGAGATTACCCCCCACAAACTTACAAACTTTACCTCTTTATTATGTAGATGAAGGCCCAGTGGTAACAGCTTGCTTGGGAAACCAAGAGAAGCGAGTTCAAATCCTGGGTCTTGTATGGCTGATAATTTCATATGCGAGATCGACAACATCGAGAAGAAATTTGCATGTATGAGATTAACAAATCTAAAGACATGTGAAGTCCTCCAAACCGCACTTGTCCAGCGCGGTGGACTATGGCCTGATCCCAGCGCACTGAGAAGATATCAGTGTCTAGCAGTGGGATGTTAGTTAAAAAATTTAAAAACCCCCTACGCAAATTAATTGTCATTTAACGATTACACTGGCACGTCATATCATAATCATATGCCAAAATACCTTATATCACTTTGGAAAGAAGCTGATACTCTTACACTGCTGGACCGATATTAACCAAACATATCTAAGAACCACCTCAAGGAAACTGGCTTTCAAATGAAAAAACCGCATCGAAATCGGTCCATCCGTTTGAGAGCTACGATGCCACAGACAGACACACACACAGAGACAGACACCGACGTCAAACTTATAACACCCCTCTTTTTGCGTCGGGGGTTAAAAACGGCTGAATATAGGGTGCATCCCTCAGTTTGAATGGTTTAGAAACGTATAAATGGCAAACATCCAAAGAAAAAATCTTTTTATTGCGCCAGGAACCTTTGTATCCGTATACAGAAAAACCGAACAGAGTTTCATTACAATCGGATCAATGGTTTCGGAACTCAAAGAGGACAAACATAAAAACATTCATTTTTATTTATCCATACTAATACTATAAATGTGAAAGTGTATTTGTTTGTTTGTTCTACTTTCACGTCAAAATACAGCGATAGATTGGTGTGATTTTTATGTGGAGATAGTTGGAGGGCTGGAAACTGACATAGGGTACTTTATTTGACTTTACCGCGTAAAAATATATTTATGATCAGAATTAATTGAAACTTGCTATTAATGCTCTTCAATATAATTAAATAAATACGTGTTGTAGCACTTTTCGAAATTATTTCATCCCATATGGGGGTAAAATAGGGGTTGAAAGTTTGTATGAAACCTACTTTTTTAGTCTTTTTGTAGTTTTAGCGCGAGCGAAGCCGCGGTTTCTACTAATCTATACTAATATTATAAAGAGGTAAAGTTTGTGAGTTTGTGATTTTGTGAGTTTTTGACGTTGTAGGGGGTAATTTCTGGATCTACTGAACCGATTTAGATGAAATTTAGTAAGAAGATAGTTTAGAGACCCTGGGAAGGACATAAGATACTTTTTATCCCGAAAGTCAGCCCTTTAGGGAGAAGAAAGTTTGTATGGGAAATCAACGAAGTATAATATATAAATAAGATAAGATAAAAGATAGACAAGTATGTATACACTCACGTGGCACGGTGTAGTTATCTATATGCGTGTGCTGGGGCGGGTGCGGCGGCGGCGGCGGGTGCGGGGCCGGGGCGTGCGGGGGCAGCGGGAAGCGCTGGTACATCTGCGGCAGGAGCGGCGGCGGCGGCAGCGGCAGCGGCATGTAGCTGTAGTTGCCGTTTATCGGCTGGCTCGCGTTCGGCACGCCCCTGTATCTGTTTTATTTACTTTATATGAATAACATTAAATATATACATAACATTATAATAAGGTTTAATATTAATTGTAATAACCACATTAGGGTTATATTATATACTACTCAAAATAAAATAGAGCCTACCTCGATACAAGATAAAACATTGTTTATAATTAACTACTGAGGTAATTCATTGTAGTTTAAAATGGAACCCCATGAGGCAGATTAGTTTATGAGTCCTTATTTAATGTTTAATGTGACAACTTTAATGTTTTTTTTTATATGGGTAGAGTAGAACAGCAGAGGTACTTGAAAGTACCCTATACGTTAATTTCTAATCACTTATTTTTCTACGCTTGTTGGAAACGTTTGCAGAGTTTTTTTTTACGTACAGCTGTTTTGTTTAGCTTCAGTAGTTCAGTAGTTCTGATTAATATCTCCGGATCTCACGGTCATATAAACATGTAAACAGCGACTAGAGCAGTGGTTTTGCTTCCAGAGGGAGAATTTCAGAGATATGTCGATACGTCTCTGTGTCACGAAGAGCTACTTGTAATTTTTTTTAATGCTACCAGGAAACAGGTAGCATTGCTAGAAGATGGGGATCAGGAAGGACGCGTACCGTAACATCCCAGGAAGCCCGGTAAATAAGGTTAACTGCGCGTCGAGATCGTACTGTGACCGCACGAACTTTACAAAACGAACTACGGCAATCTAGCGATACAAGTTTTAGTAATTAAACCATTCGAAACTAACTCCATAAGGATGGACAATGGTCTAGAAATCGTGTTAAGTGGTTGAAACTAGCTAGGGGTCATAGTGCAGCACGCATAACATTCGCACGTGAATATTTGTATTGGAACATGGACAACTGTAGGACTGTGCTCTTTTCAGATGAACCTAAGGTCCAGTTGTTTAATGATCACAAATGAGTACATGTATCGAGAAGAGAAGGAAAACGTTTTGCAAACCATGCATCCACGAAACAGACCGCTTGGGGGCCCAAGTGTAATAGTTTGGGGTGGCATAAGCTTGTCTGGGAAAACAGAGTTGGTAATTCTGAATGAAGGGACCGTGACTGCTGCTAGTCATGTTGAGAGGGCGATCAGACCTCTTGTAATCCCATTTTCATAGACAGTAGGCCATAATTTTGTTTTAATGCATGACAACGCTCGCGCCAATAAGGGTCGTATTACAAGTAAAGCTCTTTCTGACGCCAATATTTCAATTTTACAATGACTAGCCACGAATCCTGACCTCAATCCCTTCGAACATTTATTGGATCAGTTGAAAAGAAAAATTAAAGACAATTACAGCCACGTGAATAGCCAACAAGAGCTCATAAACGCTTTAAAAGCCTGCTGGGAAGGAATACCCGATGAAAACATAAGACATTTAATTAAAAGTGTATAAGACAGACCAAGAGAGTGCATACGGTGCCGAGGAGGTCCTACATGCTATTGAAACGTGACATGTACCTATCTAACGACAACTTTTTAAAGTGAAATGATTTTAGCCAAAGTTGTTTTTAAGCGCTCTTATCGCCACGTTGCATATATATGTAAATGTTACTTTCGTGATTAAATAAAAAAAAATACTGTTAATGACGCTTACACAATTTCTAAATCCCAAATTTAAGTAGCTATTCATAAAAACTCCGTGTAAATTTATATAATTTAAAGTTACGTTAGAAAAACTAAGTGGGCCCGATTCTGTTTTGAGTAGTATATATTCATAGTTCTGTTGTCATTATACATTTATTACGTAAATAAAATAATAATAATAATTAGTAACTACTATATCATTTAAAAAATACACTGACTTTTAATCGCTTTGACTTTTAGTCCAAGGACGTTTATGGGTTATAATATGTCGTAGATATCGCGCAGCTTACACAAAAAATAAGAAACAAATTTAGTATTTACCTTCTTTTTTTTTAAATCTGTCATACAAACATTCATGTAAACAGAAAACTCAATAACAAAACTTGACTCGACCCGGGACTCGAACCCAAACTCCAGATGAGCCGTACATGCTTGCTATTACACCACCAAGGCAGATTAAATACAAATAGTGCCATATCAAATGTAATAAAGATACTATTTAGTTCATCTTTCTGACAATATTCAACACTTGAATGCAACATGCAACATGTAGAACACGAATTCTACATAATACATACATTAAAGTAATAAAAAATATGATTACAATGAATAATTTTTATTTTTAATAAACTATCTGGTGTATAATATGAACAAACAACCAAAAATTTAACAAGTTATTTCAATTGTCCTGAAGATTCCTATTATACACATTTTATATTTTATTACGTTACTTCCTCCGTAAAATGTAACATTAAAAGCTAAAAAATTAAGTACTCAACAAAAATATACAATTGAATAAATGCGCAACAGAAAAAAAATTGAGTACTGAGGACACTAGATATAAAATGAAACTAATGTAAAATATATATACATATATCCATACTAATATTATAATGTGAAAGTGTGTTTGTTGTCCTTTTTTCACGTCGTAACGGAATTACGTATTGGCGTGATTTTTTGTGTGGAGATAGTTGGAGAACTGGAGAGTGACATAGGCTACTTTATACCGTGGGAGATTATCTAATTCTCACGGAATACAACCCAAAAAAATATTTGTGATCAGAATATCTTAAAACCTTGGTATTAATGTTCTTTAATACAATTAAATACGTGTTTTAGCATTTTTTTAAATTCATCCAATAAGGGTGTAAAATAGGACTTGAAAGCTTGTATGAATCCTACCTTTAGAGATTTTTTTGTAGTTTTAGCGCGAGCGAAGCAGCGGGGTCTGCTAGTTATATATAGTTTCATTAAATTTTCGTTATAAATTCAATGAAGCATATCTTACTCAATAATATTAAATGGAAATGAATTATAATATTATTATGACAACATAGTACATACACATACACTGTCATAAATTAAAAAAATATGTAGTATATATAGCAAAAAAGTACCCAACTTCGCTAATGCCCAGTTGTACACACATATGCAAAAAAAAAACAAAATATAAAAAAATCGCTTTGCTTACATAACAGGAGATTGAAATAATTAAATTGTGCACAAGGAGTCCATAGACAAACAAGTTCGCATTTATACTAAGCAAATATGGTTTCAGTCACTTGAAAATATTATGCTCATACCGTTATTATAGTATTAAGTATTTCTATAAATATAATTACTAATAATTTAGAATGCTTGCTCCTTCTTATCAATTGGGGGCAAAGATTCATTTTATATAACAACATTTAGGGCAATGTTTACGCACGTGTATATCAAACAAAGATTGTAATCAACAGACGCATTATGTCTTATTTGATTCACATGTGGGAAATGGGAACATGTGAGGAAAACATAATATAAATGTTTTGATAAACTGTCTCTGGCAATAATTAAATATAAAAATAATACGCTGTGTTAATATCCATCTTAATGTGTATTTGTTAGCGTATGGGTATTGAAAATGGTCCTTTATTATTTCGTACTTATTACAAAAACACACTATATAAATGTGCGTAAATTACAAGTAATGTGTGTGATATAGACTTACGACGACACTTTTGGCACGTTGCCAGCGGTCGCGGGTTCGAGTCCCGCTGGGGGCATTCATTTGTGTGATGAGCACGAATGTTTGTACTCCAGTCATGGGTGTTTATATTTATAATATGTATGTATTTAAAGTTATATATGTGTAGTGTATGAACTATCTGGTATCCATAACAGAAGCCTCGTAGCTTACCATGGATACTAGATGGTGTTGTGTGACGTGTGTTAATGTCCCAACATATTTATTAATATAGGTGAACTAGAGAAAAAGTTTTGGCAAGATTTCTCTATACAAAATACATTATTATCAATTAAATGAAACATATTAAAGCGTGCACAATGTGAATTATATAGAGACAGAATAATACATAACAATCTATACAGATAAATAAAATTGTCTGTTTGTAATTTCAAAGTAACGGCTTTTTACTAAATGCGTATAAAAGTATATACGGTACTTATAAGGAAAAAAAAACAGTTTTTATTTTTTTGTCTGTCGGTCTGTTTTTTTGATCCAGCTAATCTCCGAAATTGTTAGACCGATTTCAACGGGACTTCTGACTTCTGATGTTATAAGGAGTAACTTACGCTATTTTTTATTAAAAAAAAGCGTTAGGGTTTAGCGCAAAAAATGAAAACTTATGAAATTGCGAATAAAATCCGCAATAATACGTAGGGACGCACCCGAGCGAAGCAGGATGAGTCGCTAGTAAATAAATAATAATACAAATCAATTCCAATTGATTTTGCGCAATATGTTTAGATAAGTTAAGTTTTTTTACCTTACAGAGCCAATGAAAGGTTTTATTATGACATTCCACAGACATTAGAGCCACCACTATTGAAGCGTAGATGGTATATAAAAATCTAGGGGATACACACACTCGTACATTGTTAACATCATTTGTTATGAAAATTTACTAAGTTCCCTGAAGAGAAAATATATCGTTGCCATTTCAAAATTGAAGCCAGAATTAATTCTTTTCTTTCCGACACAATGTCACATGTCACAATGTCGCATCACATTAAAAAATTAAAAACTGCCGAATTTCCATTTTAGAAGACACAATTTCATATTAAAAAGAGAACAAAATATCTTTCGCGTCATTCTTTGCATTTTTCAAAAAGTTAACAATTAAAAAAAAAAACTTTATCAAAACTTTATCCATTTTATGCAAAATTTCGATAATAGGGTGGCATTTGTTACTATGACAGGGGCGGCAGTAAGGTTAAATCCGGCACTGCCAACTGGTGTCCATAGATTACCTCTCCAATTCTTCTTCGAAGTGCGCAAACGTGCACGCGTTGCCTCTGGGACAGTACGACCTCGCCACAGCGTCCCTGCACATTGACGTCTTGTACTTGTGTGTTGGGGTCGTCGCACTTTGAGGCGACGGTTGGCCTGGAAACAAAATAAATAATAAATAAACAAATATGCTCGGAAACTAACACACAACACCCTCTAGTACCATGGTAAGCTACGAGGCTTGTGTTATAGATACCAGATAGTTAATACACTACACATATATCTTTAAATACACACATATTATAAATATAAACACCCATGACTGGAGTACAAACATTCGTGCTCATCACACAAATGAATGCCCCTAGCGGACTTAAACCCGCGACCGCTGGCACAGCAAATTATCACTACATACTGAGCCAAACATGGCGTTGGACAAAAATGGATGGATGTTGGAATAATTTACTATTACCAACTAGCTTTTCATCGTAGCTCTATATGTGTTGTAAGATTAATAAATAAATAAAAAAAAACGTGTGTGTGTACTTATGTACGTACGTAAGAAGTATACTTCTTTGGCGTAACAGAACAAATATAGCTAATGATTTCATCCCGTATGTCACGACTCTCTGTTTGTAAAAGGAATGCAGCTAACTTCATCATGTCGCTTTGTGGCTGTCGGTGTGCGCGTGCATCGTAAAATTTTTACTCTCGTATTTTTTTCCAAATGTACCAAAAGAAGTATAACTTCAAAAATATTTTTTTTATCATCAGAATTTAAAATCTTTTGAATGTTATATAGCCAAAAGATATAACAATCACAATGATTAACTGAATCAAAAACGTTCGCAAGCAATGTTATTATATGTTATGTACAATAAAAGCTAATAAAACATTATAGAGGTCAATGACAGGTATGTACATATTTCAATAATATATGTATGTATATATATATATATATATATATATATATACATACATATTCAAACTTTCGCTGCTTATCCAAATCCACTTATTATTATCATCGGATTATTAACAAGTATTTTCATTTCATTAGATACTTACTGGTGGAAGGATCAATACAACGCTCTTGGAGGTGTTTCTGATTGTGGTTCGAGTCCCGACCGGTGGCCTGTTGCTGAAGGTAGTGGATCAAACCCGAAACAACCTCCTTAATAGACGTTATTATTTCAGCCAACTGCTGCCACGTTGGACTTTTCGCATCTGTTTGTGAATTAAAAGTAAAATTATGTAATAATAATAATAAACTCTTTATTGTATACCAAGAACAAAAGAAAATAAATAAATAAAGAAAAGGTAGATAATGTACAAGAGGCGGCATATGTACTGTATGTATTTGTGACTTATATATTTACCAGGTGCCTTTTGTAACCGACTTCAATTAAAGTTATTACGATTTGTTACACTGATTACACTTTTATCGCAATAAAAATAGCCGATAGCACTTGGCGAAATTATAAGTCCTATTAAATGTAAGTAATGAATATCAGTAACAAAGAAAAAGATAACAAAGTAAAAAACTATATTTTTTTTCGAAGAATGTTTCATTTGTAATAAAAAAGTGAAGTAATTAATAAGCAAAAACTCTGGATTTCATTCACAGCACTTGCATTGTGAGATTTAAGTCAGAAATAATTAAACTGCTTCAAAATAAAATGAGGTGTCATGGCCCCCATGAGCCCATGGCATCCTAGATCAGCGCTTGGGTTTAAATAGTGGTTAGAATTTAGAGCTTAGTTATTTCTTCAAAAGATTTCTATAATCACCCTTGATATGATTTATTATGAATTCCCATTATAATGAATCCTTTACAGAAGCAAGCCAAACGGCAAGTTTAATAAGATTCCTCTCATAAAATTCATCAACAATAATAAACAGTGTATTTTGGAAAAAAATGTAGACGGATATGAATATACCTTAGCAATAAAAGAAAATAATGCACATATGTAATATCAACGACAGTTTTTCTAAGTTCAGTCCCAAGGCATTACTTTTGCTTAAGGCTTAAATCAAACAAAAGATCCTACGCCTACACTTCAGCCTGACGGCGGCACTTAAGAGACTAGTGTCGTAGATTAGTAGTCTAGTATAAAACAAATCTTACTTATATTATTTTTTTCTTTGCTACACATGGTAGTGATAAAGCAAAAAGAGAAAAAATTTAACAGTTATAAACACAATTTATGGCCTATCTAGAAAAAGCTATGTAAAAATCTGTATAAATATTATAAATGTGAAAGTTTGTGAGTATGGATGTTACTTTTTCACGCCAGAATGGCTGAACGAATCTGGATGAAATTTGGCACAGAGATAGATTAGTCTGGAATAGCACATAGGCTACTTTTTATCCCGAAAAAATATATGGTTCCCGAGAGATAGATTTGTTTTTGTTTTTCTAATTAATAATAAATGATATCATCAACGTAAGGCGAAACGATACCGGATAATTTGATATATAAGCTTAAACACAACGGGCAAGTTAATAAATCTGCAACGTATGTATATGTGTCACTTATATCTAAAGGAATAATTCATATATAAATAAATAAAAATGGCCATTACGGGACGCCCGGTAGATGTGAAACATCTATGTTAATATTAGAATTCATAATCAATAAAACGAAATGTCAACAAAATCCTATAACGAGATATGGAGTAAAATAAAGAAAAAGTGGAGTTCTTTTAATAAAATCAATTTATTTTTCTTATAATTTTAATTATAGTAATAATTACTTATAGAACACATATATTTTTAAATAGAATAGAAAATATGTAAGTATTTTTAATAGATTCATGTCGTTAAACGAATAACAGCGTCTTGCCGTTTGCAGTCACGGCATACGGGTCGGTTTTACTGCCAAGGCGCACCAATAGTTGTTTCACATCAAAAATAAAAGGTGCCTACTTTATTTAAATCTAGCGACTCATCCTCGCTTCGCTCTGGTTCGTCCCTAGGTTGGTTATCCATACCAACTTTCATCCCCATTTTCACTCTCTCTCTCTCTCTCACACACACACACGATAAAAACTATCCTATATCCTACCCAGGGTCTCGAACTATCTTCTTACCAAATTTCATCTAAATCAATTCAGCAGATCCAGAAATCACCCCCTATAACCTCACAAACTTTACCTCTTTATAATTTTAGTATAGATATAGAAAAAGCACTCACCAGGACTAGCGTCTATATTTGCTAGGCGATCGAGATGCATACTCATGACCACCAACTGCGCGGGGTCACCAGTCCTTTGCAGCGCGATGAACAGTTCTTGGACTGATTGGGCAAACGATTGTGGTGTTTGTAGTTTGTCTATAATACTCTGCATATGACTCTTATGGGCCGTATCTCCATACAGTAAAGCACTCCATTGATCTGGGGCAATTCGAAGGCCGGCCTCGGTGGCTATTTGTACTATTTGGGCATCGTGCTCCCGACGCAACGACTCGTATGTACGAAACTCTTCCTTCAGTTGCATCAGAGACGAATCACATTCACGTTTTGATACCTGAAATCATATTTGATTTAGTTTGTGAAATAAATGTTCTTGAAGCATTTACCATATTGTGGTGAGTTAAAGTGAATCTTTACTAGGATTACTGTAAAATTTGTAGCTTACTGTCCCCTTGTTTTATATACATTTGAAATTTTCTGTAGTTATAAATTAATTTTACAAGATCAGACAAAGAAGCTTTTACTTTTTGCTTAAATAGACCAAAATCATACAAAGCCGATTAACGCCTACATCCTATATTAAATAATAAGTTAAAACAATTTAAAAATGAATAAAATACAGATGTTATAGCAACCGCTTCGCTCACCTTAAAACAAGAAGCTCTATAAAGAAGCTGGACGACATGGCCTATACTAGTTTTGGAAGCCTGTGGGAAGTGAGGCTCTAATCTTTGGACAACAAACATCACTAACACCTGTCAACAAATGGGTTTACTGTCAAACAGTTACCAAATTTATTGTTCAATTATTTTTGTTATTTTTCTTACGATTTCAATAAATATTTTTATTTCCTTTCTAATAACAATTATACAATAAATAAGCTTAACAAAAGATTGAAATATACAATTTAAATATAATAAAATATAGTATTAATTAAGCCAACCTTTCTGGAAAGGGCGGAACCATCTTCTAGTGCTAAGAGCACTAACTTCAACACTTCTTCTTGCATTGCCGGTCCTAAGAACTGACAACCGCGGGCTCGTACCGCCGCCCACAGGTTAGCGCTAAGCTGCTGAGGATTCTATAAAAACAATTAACATAAAAATTATTTCATCAATAAAATGTTGCACTCACTTAAAATAATCTTAAAAGTAAACATTCTAATTTTATCGGCATATTATGTGTCTCAAATTAATATGGGACCATCTTCGAAATATAGGTATTTTTTTAAAATAAAGGATTGTGCCTTGTGTTGTGTACTTAAAACCGCTTAGAGTCGATACATGAAAAACCTTTATCCGGGTGTCCCTCTTGGATGGAAAGATTACGGAAGATAACGGAATTCGATTCTGATTGTTTATTCTGAATATTCATGAAGTACAGTCCGACAAAAATATATTTATAATTACATACATATGTAAATAAAACACATATTAACATTTAAAATGTTTTCGTTAATGTACAAAAAAACAAATACACCAGATCTATGCTGAAGTCGGTTAAAAATTAGTCTATTCACAGTACCTTTAGCAGTTTAATAACATTTTCATGAGAATATAATAATATCGAGCATGGGAGATACGTAACAATTCTCTTGTACTATGCTCTCTGATCTCAACCAATTAAAGATGACCCTCCGTTGTTTATAGCTGTGTATAGGACGAAGAGCTCAATATTCAGCTTTGGATGGAAGTTATTTATAGAAATGGATATAGGTATTCCTATAGTTTCGTTTACACTCCACCTTACGGATCACTCAATGCTATTTATCATAAAATAACGTTTAATAATAAATCAAAACCATCGAGATCGTCATATTGTAAAAGTAAAATCAACACAGTAAAATCAATTTGACTACATTTTCGAAACGACTGTGGTACAGTGGTGACGTATAATCTCAGTCATTAGCCATAATCGCAGTAAATTCGATTAACAGATCTATACTAAACCGTATAAAGTAGTCATACTTTTTTATTGAACTATATGACGACAGGTCCATTCAGTAGTACAGAATATTATTGTTCGGTAATTCAAGTAACGATATGATAATAGAAGGCACGGCAATTGAAATGTTACGCTATTCATATACAATATAGTATTGTTCGTTGGAAAAGCTTGTTAATCATAAAATGAGATATGTTTCTTTGTTTTCGATCTCCTTTTGTCCTATCAATTTAGGTTTAGGTTATCAATTAAAAATGACCCGATGCTCTAGTAATCTTAGAGATTTTTTTTTCTAAGGAAGCTTCTACTTAATGGTGACCTAAAATTATATATTTTGCCATAAACAATAAAAAGTTCCCATATGAATTAATTTGTTACTAAATAATATCTTTATAACTTGTATGATAATGCATTATAACAATAATTAAGGTTTTAAAAATTAAAAAACACGTTTTTCGCCAACTGTAATAGAATCGAAGGTTTTACTAGTAACCAGTCGAAGAGTTTAACCACCTCATGGCTCTATCAGATCAACTGAATGGCATTGAATTATTATATTGTCACCTGGACTATAGGTACTTAATGACAGTTTCAAATCGATACAACAATTAAAAGTATCTTAAAATCGACTTCCAACTTTACATTGCTATCAATTAATTTCAAATCTATACTTATATTATAAAGAGGTAAAGTTTGAGAGTTTGTGACTTTGTCACCTTGTAGGGGGTAATCTCTGATCTACTGAACCGATTTAGCTGAAATTTGGTAAGAAGATAGTTTGTGATCTTAGGAAGGACATATTTTTATCCCGGGAAATATCGCTTAAGGGGGTGAAAACGGGGATGAAAGATTGTATACGGAATCAAGCTAGAGACGAACCCTACCTAATAAAAACAAATAATGTTAGTAAAGTAAAACAAGCTAAGAAAAATAATAAAATAGAGCCAACCTGATGTTGCAATATTAGTTCGGTAACAGTCCTCTCTCCCAGAGACCGCGCCGCCCTGGCTGCCCTGCCCCTACCCTCTTCATCTGTGATGGCACATTGCAGCAACGTGACCAATTTTCGCTGCATAGGCCTCGACAGACGATTACCCGCCGTGCTATTACTTGCTGTATAAATAAAAAAATACACTATGAGTTACAGCTGAGATTTGTACGTTGTATAAAAGATAATTCGATTTAATCGTACCTATTTATCCGGACTTGGAAAAGAAAAGAATACTTGCATTGTTTAAACAGATTAATAAAATCCATTAGCTAGTACATACATATATCGTGGGTTAAAGGTAGTCACTAAGTTCCACATACTTTCTTTTATTTTGTGTTTGTTATTGTCAGGACAAGCTTTGTATAGAAGAAAATTAAATGACATGTTTTTTGACTACAGTATTTTTTAAATCTCATGATATGGAAAGTGAGTGAGTGAAATAGTTTTTATCACGGAAATCATCCCTTAAGGGGGTGAGAATGGGGATGAAAGTTTGTATGGGGAAGCAAGCTAGGGACAAACCCGAGCGAAGCGAGGGTGAGTCGCTAGTAAACAATAATATTTCTAAGCGATATGGATGTTTTTACGATTAGTAAAATATACTTTGTTAGTTTTGATAAAGCGATTTTATTAATATAAAAATATTTTATTTAACTGTTAATAGTAATTAAATAGCAACCAATTACGAAACTTTTATTGAAAATTTATCATATATGTATCCTACTCGCAATTTTATTACAAATAAATCAATATTAAATACACTGGCGTGCAAAAAAATCGGGCCACCTAGAGAAAATGGACAAACTTAAGATATGATATTTTTTTATAAATTTTGTTATTATATATGGGTAGCTAGCTGTATACCCTAGGAACCTAAATCAATAATCGTTGAATAATTTAAATAAAAATTATTGCTCGAAAATAGAGGAAAATCAAATTTAATGATTTTTCACCTGTTTGGTATAAAAATGTAAGCCGTAAATTAATGGGAAAATTAAAAGATTTCGATTGGTTTTATGATTTTTAATAATGCGTATTACCGCCTCTAATTTTAATTACAGCTTTTAATCGGTTTTTCAAAGATTTGACACACTTTTTTAGATAATCTTGTGTAATAGACTCCCATTCTTCCAATAAGGCGCTTTTTAATTCTTGAATGTTGCTCGGGACTACTACGCGACTTCTAACTTTTCTTTTGAGATGGTCCCATATATGCTCTATCGGATTGAGGTCAGGGCTTCGCGCTGGCCAGGCAATAGTAGACACTCCGACCTCTTGAAGATATTGCCTTACTGATGTAGCAGTGTGTGGGCGAGCATTATCTTGTAGAAGCAGAAAATCTTCTCCAAGGAGATTTCGAACGTCAACCCCTGTGCGATGACGATTTCTTAGAGCTGATGACACAATAAATCGATCATCACGCTCTGATGTGGCTCTTCGTCGGCCGGAACCATGTCGTCGTACAAAGCCACCAGTCTCTATGTAACGTTTGTACACTCTCTGGACCGCAGAACAGCTCACAGAAAAAGCTTGAGCCACTTGACGTTGACTTTATCCAGTTTCAAGCAAAGTCACAATTCGAGATGATTCAGCCTCGGTCAGATCCATCTTGCAGTATTTCTAATAATCGCAGATCAAAGTAGTAGTGTCTTGTTCAATAATTGGAATTCAACTAAGCTTCTAAAATAACAAAAAACAGTATTTGTGGCTTCAATCCATATTATGCAAATATTCACTAATTACTGCTAATTGACTATAATTAAGAGCACACGTGCATTTCCAGGAATTTTATGACTTTTTTTTCACCAAACGATTGTCAACAAAATATTATGCTTAAAATTAAGGGTGGCCCGATTTTTTTGCACGCCAGTGTATATTAATTACGCAACGCGAAGTCTTAATTTAAATCTCCATTTTACCTCCTCGTTAAATACCGTAAAGTCACATTGTACTTTATATCTTTAATTACACAATATAGTTTTAAGGGTTTTGTCAGCGCTTAAATATTTCGTTACACAAACAAGTACTAGAAAATTTCAAAAGTTTCTATTTGTAAGATACTTAAAGAATTTAGACATAGCCTCTCTTCGGTTTCAGAAAAACACGTTTACAAAATCTTTACTATAAATAATATTTTAACGAGAGACCTTTCAGCTGGAAACGAGTTTTTAAATTAATTTCTCGCAAACGTATTTTAAAAGACTGTCGACGTCAACGGAAGTTCACGGAAATAACATTTACTTGACTTCTATTACAAATGTTTATTTATTTTCAAGCAGTCCAAGTTATATATTATATTTAAATACAAAAAAGTCCATATATGTAAATACATCATGTATTATCAACACTTCATTTATACCTTAAAATATTATGTTACCAAAAAATCCCATACTAAAAAATGTATAGATAAGAAAATATTAAATAATTATATAATAAACTTATGATAGGACTGACCATTACCGCAGAGTTTAAGGTATATGGCGAGGTGTTCGAGACAGCGCACGATGATGTCATAGGCCTGTCGGTCATGCTCGGGTAGGGCTTTGATGGCGGGCGGGTGGTAGGGCTGCGCGGGCGGCGTGTATCCAGCGAGCTGAAGTAACGCCGTGTTCACTACTAATTCGTCTGGCTCTGCGTGGATTACTGTCTAACATATCGAAAATATTGGCATACAATTATAAAGTGCTATTACCAAATATTTGCCTATTAACTTCATAGGTTATTTATTATATTGCTGATGTCTGACAGTCAAACTTTTTGGCATACCAATTGAATGGCTAGTTATTTATAAGTTATTATAGGAGTATGGTGATGTACAATTGTTTTTGAACAGTTAGCAGGAAATTCATAAATAATAATGTATGATTCAGCGGTGTTAACTTGGGCTAGAAAGCATTTGCTCCCTTTCCAACAAGTAAAAGAAAATTAAACCAGTTAAACAATAATATAAAAATCATTTAAAACTTTTGTTCCTACAATAAGGATTTTTTAAAATATTAAATATTAAAAGATAATAAAAATAATTGTATGAAATAAAATTCTGTAGTATCTTGAAAAATATAATCAACCTGATCAAAAGGGCATTGCTTTCGATGCAAATGTTTAAGACAATGCCCGCAAAGGGTGTGCCCACATCCAAGACTGATAGGGCTTCTTGGTGGAGGGCCAAATTCTCGGCAGCACACTGGACAATTGAGGTAGTCCGTCCATTGCGGCGCCTGGATTGGCATTCTATGAAAAGATCTATTATTGAAATATATTTTTTAGCATTGTATTTAAATAAAATTATAGTACATATTATAATAAAATGTAAAAATAATATTGGTTATAAATAATAATGATTGACAAAAAATTATGAAAAAGGCTCATTTTTTAAGTAAATTCATTTAATTGTAATTATATGACAAGTTTAAAATAGAAAAATATGTGTATGTAACCCTTATCTATCTTATACCTTAAGTTTTTAAATTCATATCAATAGTGTCTAATTTTTCAGCATTACTTCTAATTTCAGATTGAATTCATAGAAATGATTTCTTTTATTTATAGTAAATAAAAGAAAATTTTACAAGGATCTCTTGATACCAATTTAATATGAATGTACAAGTAAATTACATCAATTATAATAGTTGGTTAGTTTAGGTTTTAAAAAATAAGATATTTAGTGTATAACAATGTGTCCTTATTTATAACTGGCTTTAAGTAAATAATTTTCAGAATGTAGGAAAGCCTTTTAAAAATGAGTGTAAGGAATTTTACTTACACCTTTCTTTGGGCTTTTGGCATTTCTAACTTTTTGAAACTACCTATATAAGTAGCAGGTTTAATTGTCTTATAATTGATAAAAATACCGTAACAATATTTTAAATTATTTTTTTAAAGGTTTAGTAACATTTTCATATTGATAAAGACACTTATTTACCATAATAAGTTAATAAATATGATTCATATTGTCCTTCAAACATAGCAGAAGGACATTGTGTTGTTATACGTTAGCAGAGTTGAATAGAAATTTTAATTGCGAAAAGGATATTATAAGTTTACCATATTTAATTAGCAGCATTTGCAAAATTTATTTGTAACTTCTATTATAATATATGAATTTGTAAACAAAGATGCATGTAAAATACGTATGGTATTCTGTATTTGCATATAAATTACATATTTTTTGAGGTCTAAATGTATTATTACAGAACTAATAAAAATCGTCGCGTCATTGAATTGAATAGTGACACAAAGATTGGTATATTTATATAATCTAGATAAACAGTATTAATCTTTATTAATTTATATATATAATAATAAATAGGTTTTTGTGGCTTAGGTACTTAAAAAAGTTTATTTAATGTGATAAAGTGAAATATTCCAAAAATTTGACATGCAAAAATTGCCACCTAAGCAGTACGTACGAAGAGTTTTATACACAACCACTTGTCTAAATATTGAAAGTATACTTAGACATTTTTTGAATGGTTTACTCTAAATAATGTTTTTCAATTACCTCAAAAATAACACGAACACTCATCACAAAAATAACACATTTAACTTCTACCCACTTCAAATCATGATCCGTCAGCAGCCGTAAACATAGACTAAGCAGAATGAAAATATCAAAAATCTAAATATTCTCTGCGTTTAATAGTCTATGAATAAAAATCAGAACTAGTTTATTATATAAAGTTAGGTTTACATAGATAGGTACTACATTTTTTTTATATTCATTAAAATAAGAATAGAAATACTTTAAGGTTTTTTATCTAGTTATCCAATATTGAACAAATGTTATGTTAATGTTTTTTATTTCTGTTATGTAAATATTATGAAATATTAAATAGCCTAGAGTTTTATACACTTGGCAATAAAGTTTTAGGATTTTAAAAAACCTATCACTTCTGTGTAAGGTTCTGTTTGTCTATAATCGGAAACTCAATAATCTTGGCATCTTAAACTATTTTTTTATTGCCTCATGTTTCCGCTATTGAATATTCTGCAATATTTTTTTCTTTTTTCACTTTTACTGCATAATCTTGCGTTCAATTAAAAGAAAAAGTGAAAAGTTTAGAAGAATGTAACATAGCATTTATATATTATAGGCCCCATGAATCATATATGAACATTTCGATTGTTTAACAATTGTGTCTATTTTGCGGACAGTTAATCTGTTTAATTAAAGCTAAACACCACTTTTTGTGTATTTCACATTCAGAAAGACAGAGTTTTATACAATCTTTTATACCCTATTTTACCCACTTAAGGATGAGGACAAAAAATCCTTTTTTTAATAAAATCTAAGATGCAGGTTTGGAGGTCGTCTTCCTCCAAATTTCACGATTCTATGACGAGCTAAACCGCTGTTCCTCCACTCCGCTTCGCGCAGTTGTGTTGATCCATCAGTCGGTCAGGAGCACCACAGGATGCACCTCTCCTTCTGAATTCTTACTTCAGCTGGTCTAACTTTCAGGTATAATACACTATACAAGTAAGATGCAAACATAATAGAAGCAAAAACCAGGTTCTAAAGAGATATCATAATAAAGTGCTTAACCCTACTGAATGTAAATAGATCATACATGTAGCGCCCTCCTTTCACGAAATCTTCCCCATTCTATAGATATATCTATCCACGAAATACATCGTCTGTGATGTACAAATGAGACAAATCAATTGTCATTTTCTGACAAGTGACATCACAGAATCCCGATTTATTTATTTTGAAATGTTGCTTAGATTTACAAAATATATCTTTATCAATGTATTTTATAAGGAAATAGATTAGATTGAGAAAATAAATTACTATTAATAATTAATTAACGTTATTATCATAATAATTAGGGATGATTTTTAATAAATGAAATTTTATAAATAGAATAAGAAAGAAAAATGTCTTGGAAATGTGTATTTTTATTTTCTATATTATTTGGGAATGCAATGGTTAGTTTATGATTATTATTCTATAATATAATAAGATAATTATTAAGTTTGTATTGTTCTGATACAATATAATTAATGATTATTATTATAATTTTAGTCCCAATTTTATGAAGATAAAAGATGTCGTTGTATATGTCCAACAATTTCGATTGTAAACGATACCCACAAAACACTTAGGACCCTCTACATCGCCTATGTACCTCCAAATTTGTGGTATGGTTTAAATTTATATATTATATGAAATAAAATTATCTTATGATTATGACAAATCAATTATTAAATACATATTCTTTTATAACTATTTAATTTAACAGCAACTGTAATGGTGTAATCCTACCAAAAGTAGCTGATGAAGTCAGGCACAATGCTCGGATGTTTTGTCCACGGTGTGAATGTAAATATGAATCTAGAAATACAACTATTATTATGGTAAGGGATATCAAATAACATTGTATAATTGACAATGTGTTATTTCAATAATTATATTAATCTTATTCTGATAGTTATTATTTGTATTGCAACATTTATTATTAAATTGAAGTAATCAGTCCTATTTATTCCATTTTGTAGAATTTCTAATGTACAGAACTGATGATAAAATTGAACTTTCAATTCTTTTTCCAACAGATTGTAGTGATATTTGTCATATGGGTTGTGATGCTTTTGATGGGATATTATATCTTTCTAATGCTACTTGAATTATTAGTTACGAAAAGACCGAACTATACAGAAGTGAGCAACAGAACAGATGAAGTAAGAACTATTTCTTATTCTTTATTATTATAAGAAAGTCAAAATCATTTTAGATCTTACATGATAATTTATCAATTATCAACTATATTTTGAATGTATGAGTATTATATGAAGTGGAATTTTATTACATATATACTTATGAAACATTTTACTTATATAATATCTACACTAATATTATAAAGAGCTAAAGATTTTTAGTTTGTATGTAAGAGGAAGCTATGTTTATGAACTTAGTTTTCATTTTGATAAAAATATGTGAACATCATGTGAGTCAGCCATCAAGTTACTATATCATCTATTAATTAACATCTATGAGCACCCGCGTGAAGCGATACTAAGTTGTTAGTGATAAAAAACCTTAAATGGCTAAATAATAATTTGTTGATTTTATTGTGGTGAATTTAAATGTACAACTTTTTATAAATAACTTCATAGATCAGACCTATTAACACCCCACTGCTGGGCATTTGCATTGGGACTACCCCTCAAATGTGGTGCATCTAGCCACATGTGTATAAAACCTGACCTTTACATACATGCCTTAAATAAATCAAAACATATCAATTAAATATTTAGTTTAAATTAAATTTTATATAGTATCTTAGCAATGACATATCAGAACCTATCATGAGTACAATGACTTGTAGAAGTTTTATTTATTATTAGGAAAATTAATGATATAGAAATGCATGTACATATGGAGACGTTATAGATAGTTTATTTATATATATTTGTTACAGACTGAAAATTTATTAGTTGAGTATGACGAGGCAGAAGATTACTAAAACCCGAAACAAATTATGAACAAAAGCTAGTTTAGGAGTCAAAATGAATAAAATTGAATATCTATGGAAATTATTTATTAATTAATTTATAATGGTATTTCAGCCTATTTGGATAATTGGTGTAATAACAAAGCATCTATACTATTTGATACTTCTATAACTATACTAGATATAAAATGTTGGGTAAACAGTATTTCTATTGTGACAATTTTTAAATATGTATAACATTTAAAACTCTATAACTTCTCTAAATATTGAATACTATTATATGACTTATTAGAAAATGTGACTGCATGTCACATAAAGTTTACTCTTTTAATAGTGTACTATCTCTAAGATATTTGCTGTGTAAATATTATAAGTGTATAAAATTAAGACTAAACAGTATGCGATTGAATATTATTATAATGATAATAATAATATAACGATATTAAATATTATGTAATTGTGACAGGGTTTTTATATCCCTGCAGTCTAGTTACATTATTGTGTGGAGTGTTTATCAAGAGCTCACATGGAGGTATGAGATGCGATTGTGAGAACAATCGTAGCTGACGCCGTGCTAGTTAAGCATTGTATGTCTATCGTATATGTTGCGTCGTTGTTCCCTCACTTGACGCTTCCACTTGTCCTGTTGGTGAGTGACACGGTTGAGAACGTTACCCCGGGCACCCATTTGTTGTGACGGTCCACTGATTGAACTTTCATCCTGTTGCAAAGTTTGTGCAATTCATGTTATATCAATTTAAATTATATAATGGAATATATTTATGATTTTTTGTAAGTCTATAAATATACATAAAATGTGATTAAAGAATTTCTATGTTCTTTTTTAAACCTTTGTTTCATTTTTTCATGTTCGAATTGAAAATGTTAATTATATCTTCAAGTTTAATTTATAATTTGAAAAATGTACTGATTAAATTATTACACATTTAATAAATTGATATGGTTACTATTTCAAAGCTTTGACTTTATTATAAAAATAAACTAAGGGCTGCTAGAATATTTTTAATAGTTTTACACGAACTCACATCTTCATTGGTGTGTTCTTGATATGAAGCCTTGGCTCTCTTATTGATAAGCGGATCGAGGCAGATTAGGAAGCCCATATAAGCGACTAGCAGCATGATCACCCATATCACAATAATCACTACAACCTGTTAAAAATATTGTATTATACTTTTGACTTGATGTGATAAACATGCATAATGATAAAATGTGAATGGATTTTTTTACAGAAATCCATACTAATATTATAAATGTGAAAGTGTGTTTGTTTGTTTGCTTGTTTGTCTGCCCTTCTTTCACGTCGAAACGGAGTAGATGGATAGGCGTGATTTTTTGTGTGGAGATAGTTGGGGGGCTGGACATAGGCTACTTTTTACCGCGGGATTTATCTAATTCCCATGGGAAAACACGATATAATACAATCCAAAAATGTATTTATGATCAGAACTATACTTGAAACTTGGTATTGATGCTCTTAAATAAAATTAAATAAATACGTTTTTAGCATTTTCGAAATTCATCCTATAAGGAGATTAAATAGAGGATGAAAGTTTGTATGAAACTACCTTTTTAGAGATTTTTTGCAGTTTTAGCGCTAGTGAAGCCGCGGGTTCTGCTAGTAAGTTGTATAATTTTAATGGTACATATTTTTAGGCAGTGGTTATACATTATCATTTTAATCGCAACACTAATAACATTATTCCAAGTCACTTCCATAGATTACTTTGAACACTATCGAGGAGGCAAAATCATATGTTAACAATTTTTCTAGGGGATAGTTTTTTACCTTTATGATTGTTGTATTTCTGTTCTCATATTTGCATTCGCAGCGAGGACAAAATTCTTGTTCGCGACCTTTAATCAATTCCCCAACTCGAGGCAAAATAACACCATCGCAGTTACTGCCGAAAAGAAAAATACTTAATTAGTTAAATTGTCATAAAGGCGATATATAAATAGTAGTCTCTTAGCCTTTTCTTAGCCTTTTTATATATTGAAAGATATACAATAATTTTATTTAAACATATCGTTCAAGTAAATTCTTTAGGATTTAAAATATTTTCTTGGTTAAAACTGTCTGCATTCTACAGGTGAATGTTTTAAGTAATGAAAATAGTAAAAGAAGTGGAATTAAAATAAGCAAGTAAAATGAACAGCTACACAATTAAAAATAATATTGCAAGTACGTTGCACTATTCGTACGCCATTGCTTTAAAAAAGAGGATGTTTTATTCTTACCATTTATTGGGCGGCACATTGCCAATATACAGTTTCCGGTCGGAGCCCACAGTGTTATTAAGGACAGCAGCAGGACTAGGGCAAACGCACTTGCATCTTTTATCCTCGTACGAACCCTGCCGTAAATAATAGTTTACTTAATATTATATACACGTTATACGACAGATTATTATATATACCATCTGTATTAAAAGCATTTAAAATAAATAATAAGTAGATAGTATATGGATACCTAAAGATATGAAATACCTTTTTAGTTGTAAAAAGTTTCGATAGTAGGTACCTATGTTAAAGAAAATTTATAAAATAATCCATAAACACTTTTGTCAAAGGGAAATGATTTAATTAAAAAATACAAATACTTCAAATTTACTAAAGTAAATAAATATTCCACCTTTGAATTGAATGTTTTTCTTTAAAAATGTTATTCTATTCTCTTAGATAAGATAGACGATGTTATCGTTTGGCTTTAGAATCGGTTTAATAAAGCCAAATTGTAGCGTAGTATACAGCCAAAAATAAACTTACTACCGAAGACAGTGAAAATGTAGGTTTAAAAATTAGGCCATCCGTGTCAGGATTGAAGCGGTGAAGAAGAAAGTATCACCGTGGGGGCGATAAAATCCGAGCGTAGGTCTGAGAAATCCTACCATTTTATTTGTAGGGCTAGGAATTTGATCATTCAATTATGCATATTTTTAATAATAAATACCTACTAAGAAAATCTGCCGGTTACTAATAAATATGACGATGTTATTTTAACACGTTCGGAGAGTTCTATTTGATCCTAACCATCTGTTTTGTATGACTCTATAAAGCTACTCGTAAAGTTTGTTATTAATCATTAAAAAACCCCGTCGGGGGCTGTAGACTAATATTCGATATTCTTTAAAGTGAAAATTCCTCATATAAAACAAAGCCGCTTGGTCGTCCTATTCATTTGGTCAGAGATCTCATTAACGGAGGTCGTGTGCTAGATTTTATGGCATCTCAGTGTGAGATGTTTGCGAATTGCGATACAAAAAAAGGTAATAAATGTAATAGAAAATTGAATGAATCTTGCTTTTTACAAATTATATGACGTCAGAAATAGCATGAAAAGGTAAATAGTGTCAAAAGTTTATAAGTATTATAATACGTAAATCAATTAAAATGAAAAAAAATAGTACCTAAGTAAAACATTACTGTTTTTTCCGATAGCTAGGGAATTAGTATAATAATAATACTCTCCTGAGTATTTCGGCCACGGCGGCCAATCTCACTTAAGACTAGCCAGATGCGTAGATATTATAGTGCACAAGTGTACACGCAGATACAACGTGCACTATGATTTATTCCTTTTCCTCTCAGTCGTGAAAGTTAAAGCGCAGGACGGACGGCGTTACGTGCTCTAATAGGCACGGACGTGCCACACCCCAACTTTCCAACTCCGGGCTACTACTGAGAAAATCTTAACAGAAAACCTAACAAATTAAAAATTAAAAAAATTGTGCGAACCGGGACTTGAACCTTGGACCTCCGGATTTGCAGCCGAAAATACTAGCCACTAGACCACCGAGGCAGTTAGGGAATTGTTATATATTATGTAGCCTAAGTATCCTGTACAGCAACATCCATTTGTAGCAATTTCAGATAACAAATTCGCCTTTGGTACTTTTATTAGTTTTATACGAATGCGATATTTCAACACTAATCACGATAAAATGGAATTATAGATATTTTTTTATTAGTACAGAAAAATAAAAATTTTACTCACACATTACTTGTCAATATTAATGTCTTTTTTTTACATAAAATTGATTTTTATTTTATTTATTTTTAAATATGTAAACAGTTACTTCATTTTTATGATTATGGCAGCACTGACATTGGATATACAGGAGGAGGCACTCTGAATGGTGGGAATAGTTGGAGTGTCTGATTGAAGATCATAAAAACGAAAACCGAACATATGTTCTGTGATTTCGATGGGCCATCCAGTTTTTCCAACTTAGGTACTGGTCTGCTCTGACTTTCAGTATCTCACTTCCATCATTTCAAAATGACTATAATTGACCAAAAGTAGGGAACGGGATAAATGCAAGTTGATTAAAATGGCGACATGTCTCGGGGACAACTTGTGATGTCCCTAAAGCTCAATGGGCAAATATGTAAGACCTTAATAAGGCCTGTTGTTATTTAACTATGAAAAACCAGTGACAGAGAAACTGAGGAGTAATAGGTTAATGTGGTATGGGCAGGTTTTTTAGGAGGGCCTAACAGCAGACTGAGCAGAGTGGACCAAGGAGTAACCCCTCGGTTGTATGGTCTAGTTCCGCAGACTTACCATTGGGGCGTCGTGGACTCGTAGTTGTGTGTAAGTGGTACTGAGACACCCCATGAAGACGGGGGAGGTTCTGTTGGGTTTTAGTGGGTAGTATTGCTCTCTAGCCAGTAAGTCCCACATAACCATCTATATGTACATAATTGCAGGTGGTATGCATAAATGCATTCAAGGCAAAAAGGCTCTTGAGGAGGGAAGACAATCGTATATGCAAGAAAATATTAGGCATGAATGGGCGATGATGGATGGATGGTATGGTATGGTATAAAACGGGCTTGTTTCCGCAACTCGACGTCTGCGCGCCTATTTTGCGTGTGTCTGATGGATGGATATAAAAGTAGAGTTACACCTTGGCCTACCTTTCACACATCAAGTCCATTTTCGAGACAGGTGAAAGAGGATAAGTGGTCAGGGTGTGTGTGCTGAGATGACAGCTAATAGAAGGAACTGGAAAAGGATATAATATATTGTGGCAACATAGTGAGGGGGAGCACCAGAGAAAGCAGGAGAATCAAAGATTGAAATTGTGTCTTCATAATAAACAAGTTAACTACAATAATTAGAATACAATAATTCTATATACCTACATAAAAATGGAATTAAATTAACAATATTTAATAAAAATATTAGTCATTTGAGATATGCTTTAGCTAGAATTGATTTTAATTACTTTTTTTTATATTATTAAAATAATCTGAATTAAGTATATAGGAAAGATAGTAGCCTAGATTTATAGTTGGAGCTACTTGTTTAACTAAATAAAACTATAAACAAACGCGGAGCTTCCAGCAGTAACTGCATAGTTTATCAAATGTTTTTATTTTTATATGAAATCAACTTTCCATCTTTCCTATATTTTTAATGTCCTTCAATATAAATTGACAAAGCAGTAAATGTTTTCCTAAAGTCGAGAAGAAGTAAAGTTAATGGAGTTGACAGACATTGTAAACACATAAGTAAATAAAAATATTAATTTAATAATACATAAACAGTAAATTATTTAAGCATTACTTACTGATACCAACGAAGCGCATGAAAGAATAAATACAGCAAAAGTTAATTTAATAAACATTATTTATCCACTTATTGTATGAAAAATATTAATATTATTAGCGCAAATACTACGTCCAACATAGAAATTAGGATGATTACGAAAAATAGTACTCCATTTCTAACACAGATTAGGACTTATTTTTCTAGCTAGTAACCACAGATAACAAATAAGTAAACTTTTAAGTTGTAAATCTTAAGAATTTTGCCTTTTTCTCCCACCAGATGTCGCGATCACTATAAACCTCAGTACATTGTAAAGCTCTATAGCATGGATGGATTTTTTTCATTTTATTGAAAATTTAATTAAAATGACAAATTGTGCAATGCCAGGATGCAAAGAAAATGGATATCATTTGTTGCCAAAAGACAAAAACTGAAGAAATTTTGGGCTAAAGCAATAAGATGACCAAAATTGTCGAAATCACAATCTTTATATTTAAGGCCATGTAGACATCATTTTAAAGCTAGTGATTTAAAAACTATTAAATCGTCTACAGATGAATATTATATTTATTTATTTTTTGTACTTTTTTTACAAATTAATTACAGAGTTTCATAGAAACTTTCATCCCCCATTTTACCCTCTTATAGGATTGAAATTCGAAAAATGCTGAAACACGTGTTGAGATTGAAAGATTGCCTAAAGATTGCGAAAGAGATTGAAAGATTGCTTAAATTAGGCTTTATTCATCTTTAAAAATACTACGTAACATGTGCTAGAGACTATTATAAAATACATATGACAGTTATGTTTCTAATACATATATTACATAAATAAGCGGCCAGTATTATTACTACACACGTATTTATTTAATTGTATTAAAGAGCATTAATACCAAGTTTCAAGTAATTCTGATTATAAATAATTATTTGCCCATATAAACTTTATTACCCCCTTTTATCCCTTTAGGGAATGAATATCAAAAATAAATATATTTCTTATTGAAATAAGAAGAGAAAATTATGAAAGTAAAATTTTTACGATGCGCACGCACACTGACAGCCAAAAAGCGATATGATGAAGTTAGCTGCATTCCTTTTACAAACAGACCGTTGTGATATATAGGATGAAATCCTTAGTTATTTTTGTTCTGTTACGCCAAAGAAGTATAACTTCTTACTTGTGCACACACGTTTTTATTATCTTAAAACTAAACGCCACTTTCTATGTATTTCTCATTAAGAATGAGAGTTTCATATAATCTTTAATTCCCTACTTTATCCACTTAGGGGATGAATTTCGAAAAACAATTTCCTATCGGATGCCTACATCATATAAAGAATACGTCCTTCAAATTTAACGTTTCTTCGACCAGCGATGTAGATCAGATAGAGCAGGGCCACCGCAGGATACACACCTCTCCTTCTCAATTCTTACTTCAGCGGGTCTAATTTCCAGGTACAATACATTGCACAGTTAAGATGCGACCACAGATACAGAAGAAGGAAAAAAAACAGGTATAACAGGAATATTACAATAAATTGCGTAACCTCAGACTGTGTGTGGCGCCCTCCTTTCGAGAAATCCCCATTAGCATTATTACCTATTAGAAAATGATAGGTAATAATGAATAAAAGTTATTAAATTATAGAAAAATTACCAGTAAATTATACTCACAAAAAACAATAAATATATTGTTTTGAGCTTACATAACTAACTCACAGATGGCGCTAAACATTGAGAAATCATATTATTTTATTTGTTTTTATAATAGCCTAGGTGGCGCTATAAGTTTTATCGAAGAGCAGATTCCTGGATAGTGTCTATACGCGCAGAAATATTTTGTGACTTAAAAATGCATAAAATAAAAAATACACGAATTCAATTCAATTTTGGTTATGTAATAATATCTTAATATCGTTCCAACATTTGACCTGTGCACGCGAAGGAAATAGGTATACTTACGAGCTATGCACAAGCCCTTAAAATTTTATTCACATTAGTACTAGGTATTATTTTAATCAAAAATTTTAAAAAGAAAAATTAGGATCAGAAGGAGAATATTTTGTGTTTTTGTGTCATGTCGCTTCTTCACGCTGAAACGGCTGGAAAAATTTAGAATTAAGGAATGAATCTAAAATTTATTATACCTACAAGTAGATTATGACGCGGAAGATAAATACATTGGCTACTGACAGGCACCTACAGACGCACCCGAACAAAGCGAGAGTAGGTATGTCGTACTAATATAATATAATAATTAGTTTAAATTGTTTTATTAAAATTTATATTCATTATTGGTAGTTACATTTAATAAAATAAAGTACCTCACTACTGCAACTTTAAAAAAAATGCAACAGCGAAGACGGTAACAGTGATAAATAGTCTCCATTACAGCTACGCAAGCTTAGATTAACACAAACGTACACTTAAGTAGCTCGTTATTGTTCCTAACAAAGCCATTTTACTTAATATACTTAGTATAGGAGGTGAGGTGGCGTAAGGTTTGTTAAGCGTAAACTGTATATGGACATTAATTTTATTATATGTTGTATTTTAATCTATTTATTCATTTATTTATGTACCATATAAATATATGTTATACAAAATAAAGTAACAAAATCTTGACAAAGGATGACTTATCTCTTTAAGAGATTTCTTCCAGAAACCCTTCAGAAGTGAGAAAAAAGAAACAGAATATAACAAAAATGAAAGGAAAAATAATTTACGGGTGATCTGAGGTCGGGAAGTGGGAAGGGGTCAGCTTTTAGGGGTAAAAACAGTTTATATCGATTTCCGGTAAAACTACAAGTCCTATGAAAAAAAGTTAAATGACAAAGTTGTAGGTAATAAAAAGATCTACAACTTTTGTATTTACACTTTTTTCACATAACCTCAAAATTTATGTGAAAAATTCAAATAACCAACTTTTAGGTTATTTATTTTTATCTTTTACAAAAAAAATGTTTTTTCCCATGAAATTTGGTGAAAACTTGCCTTTTTATGTCCCAAGCATACTGTAATTTTTTTTGATTTAAAACATTTATTTTTTCACCTTATTTTGACTTAATATCGAAAAAGCACCCTTCAATTTTCAATCGAAAATTCTCGTGTCAAAATATCTGCTTTTTTAAAAAAGACGGTGGGCTTTTTGTTCGTTGAAATCTCTAGCGTACGACCCCATAATGTTAATAATTATATTCGAATTTAAGATAAAAACAGTTTAAGTTAAACTAGCGGTTTACCTTCGCTTTACTCGAGTTAGTCCTCAGGTACGTCTTACATAGGTATGATATACGTAGGCATGATAAGTTGCTGTGGGTTGTATTATAACTAGTTTTCCCGTGGGAATGAGATAATCTTCCACGGTAAAAAGTAGCCTATGTCACTCACTAGCCCGCCAACTATCTCCAAGCAAAAAATATGTCAATATGAAAGTAGGACAAACAAACAAACACACAAACAAACAAACAAATAAACAAACACTTTCACATCTATATATTAATACGTGAAGCAAAAACTTTGTACCCCTTTTTACGAAAATAGCGCAGACGGAGGAGTATGACATTTCCCACACGTATAGTTTATATAGAGAAGGCGTGCAGAACGCTAATATTTTTATAAAATTATGCAGTAAAAATACATTAAATCAATAAAAAAAAAACTTTACACACACATATATACTCTTCTGTTTAATGTTAAAGCCTGTGGTCAAATTGAGAATTATGTATTAATACGTGAAGCTTTTTAAGAAAAATCAATAATAATCATGGTCGACGTTCGACCACTCGGCGAACTCTAGATTATATTATTAAGTATGCATTATGCCCAATATTGGGAAAAGAAATTCTTTTGCGATTTTACGGAGTTAAAAATTATTTTTCCTACTTAAATCAAATGAGTGACATTATGTACTTTAGCTCTGTACTTAGGTAACTTCAACAAACCTTCATTCTTTTTTTTCTATATTGAGGATAACGAATACTTTTATCGTGATCCGTTCAACCGATTTGTTAGTAATTAAGTCACAAACTTTTGATTGAACACAAATATTAAGTAATTAAGGATTTAAAAAAATACTTTTATTTCAATGTAAAAAAATACAAAATAGATGTATTGTTATTTCAGTACCTTCTTAGAAAACAAGTAGCTACATAAAAGCAGGAAGCAGCTTGCAGTTTAAGTGCAATGCCCACTTATGAAAGATAAGATAAATTAGAATATAACACAAGCTCCAAAAGTCTTGTGTATTTTACCCATAATTACATATTATGATAAAATTTTAAAAATAGATTTATTTGCAAACATTTCGTTTATAATTTAATAACATGATTCTTTATTTATAAAATATTAGTACACTATATAGTGTACATATTATGTTTATACTATTTGAAGAAGGAAGTATATTACATGAAAATGCTTATGGCAGTATCTAACTTAAACAGATTTTCTAAAAACGGTTTATGTCATAAATACTTGCGTATTGCGTATGGCCATGCCCCATTAATATAATTCTAATTTCTGGGTATCTTTTTTTATGTTCTGCTTACTTTTACCGCTTCATTTCCAATTTTAATCAAGTAGGTATACAAAATTAAATAAACTAAATATATAACTTATATTTTAAAAATATGAAAAAAGTTATACCTATATTTTTATTTTAATGCGATATATTTCGGGTATACGAGTATGTAATAAGAAATCTAAAATATAGTTAAATTTTAATTTTCTTTTTACATATAATATTTTGGATGTTGATTACAAGTGTGTCTACTTTTGATAAAACAGGTTACAGAAAACCTGACTACTATATCGAGTAATAAAACATTTATGCGAGTCCGTTTACAGGTTCCACTTATTTACTATTTATGTATTGTAAACACTATACAAAGGAAGTGGTCACACAGGAATGGAGCGCTGCTATTCAAAGTTGAGCTCGAGCTCGGAAATATGACAATGTTTCGGTCTACACCAATGTGAACTTACCTTTAGAAGGCTGTCGGGGCGTTAAAATGTTACATTAGATAAGGTGTTATTATGAAATTATTGAAGAATATAAATACAAAAAAAAATCGGTT